CGGCCGGCTCATCCACGCCCTCGCCGTTATGTCTCACATGTGGCCTGCACCGCCCGTTCTGCCTCATGTGGGGCACAAAACCCTGCCAACCTCCAGCCTCCCGCTGCGCCCGGAGGGGAAGGGGAGTATTGTAGTGGATTCCTCCCCTACAAGCGCCGTTTGTCGCTGAGTAGCCGAATCTTCTCGAATTCCCCAGCCTACGCCTCCAGCGCCGCCTGACGGAGCGGGGGTCAACTATCAACCCACGCCTACCCCCGCCTTATAAGACCTCACACCGTTGTGACCACCCTCTTTCTACCCCCGGCCACCAGCAAGCAACACCTCCTCCTCCGCTCCAGCCTGGCGGCTCCCACTCCCGCCGGCGACCTTGGCGTCCCTCAAGCTGCGTGCCCTCCTTTGGGCACCCTCAACGCGTGTAACCATGCTGCCTACCCAGCACCAAGCTGCATTGTACATCCAATACAATATGTATACAGAGAGCACATTGTGTTTCCTTCTCCATCCCATCCTGAGTGTGAACCAATATCTCATAACCCCACAGGCTAATCCCTGGTGTTAACCCTAAACTCCACCTCTACCTTAAAATCACCTACCACCACTTGTAATCCGATATTTTGAGCAAAGAGTTGGACAATATTTTACAATCTGGGTAGGTATTTCGCAGGCTTTCAGCGGGTGTGTTAACATGCGCAGGACGTATGTTTTTTTTTGTTCCGCGCATGAGGAGTATTGTAAAACGGTAGATATTTCACATGTACAACTGGCACCTGGCGCTGTGTGAGACCACCAACATTAGCGCAGGTATAGATACATTCTGGAAGGTCAACAGTGCGTAACAGGTTACAGAGGTGTGAGTTTGAATGACTGCTCAACCAAGTGGTTGACACTTGACAGATAAGTGGCGAAGAGAATAAGTAAATATATATATATATATATTTTTTTTTTTAATGCGCATTTTGACTAACGAACTTGACTGAACATCATTTACTTACATCTTGAGTCAGTTGCGAAGTTGAATTTTACAACACGTAATTAATATAGACGAATAACTTAAGAATTCAAATCAGTATGAAAAACTTTGTACGGTATTTATAACTTGGATTCAACTGAAATCTTATTGTCCATCAATATAAGTGAGAAAGCTGGTGAATAAATTTCCATTAAACATGTAAAAATCATAGAATGATAGTTTTTATTTGTTATTTTAATTTTCGTTTAAATGTTAAACATTATTTATTCTCCAAATAGAAGTTAAAAATTATTTTTTCCATCTCACCCCCACAAAAAAATGGTGTTCCGTATTTTGAAATTGAAAATCTGTATGAATATTATCTATATAGGTCATTTATCTTAGACAGCCTTTCGCTAACACTGACTGTAATGGTTATGTTCACTTCACATCACATCACCTGGCACACTCCTCCTCAATGGTGGTGTTCGAAGGTAGCGTAATAAAGTGGCTTCGTTTCATAATCAATTTAATTATTGTTTTTTTTTGTTCATTTATGAAAATCACAATATCAAATCATATCATTATGCCGTTAAGACACACGTGAAACAATTATTTTGAAATTTATAGACAGATTAGGTGTAAGAAAAGAAGTTAAGAGTTCCTCCCTGTTCCGGACACATAGCAGCCATTTGTTTACAATCGTCAGCTGAGGGACAAAGAGATTTACTTCTTCATTGACCATTATTAGGCTCTATCAAATTGTGGCTGTTGTTAGTAAAGAAAAATATTATCAGAAACTTGTTATTGAACAAATTTCTTTAGTCTCGGTATTGATAATGGTTTTAAGAAACATCTTGTAGGTGGTCATTGGTGCTAGGAGTTAGATCATAATATTGCTGGCCACTCTCCCAACGGCATTAACCACATACAGTACAGTACAGTACATATATATATATATATATATATATATATATATATATATATATATATATATATATATATATATATATATATATATATATATATATATATATATATATATATATATATATATATATATATATATATATATATATATATATATATATATATATATATATATATATATATATATATATATATATATATATATATATATATATATTATATTTTTTGTTAGGCAGTTTGCCTTTTTAGGATAATCTGCATGTTATATCATAGGTAAATTTGCACTTCCACCTCCCACTGTTAGAAAGTAAAAAATATATTTTTCTAGTGTATTTGTGTGTTTAGACCGAATATGACCTTCATTTCCGTCGGAAATTGGCCGTTTTTTTTTTATCAATTTTTTTTTCGTGGAACGTTTTTCGAAAAAAAATAATGGCTAAGCGAATAAAAAATACACCAAAACACACTAGAAAAACAAAAACCAAACCTAACCTAACCTAACTATCTCACCATATGATGTAATCACCTATTTCTTACCTTATTGGGCTGGTTCTTGTTCGTCGTTGGATTCCGAGATTCTTACACAACGGCACATATGTTGGTCTTTGCGATATTTACATTCAGTCTTGTACTTAAAACACTTTACTGAGGTCGGGAGAAAACCATGCGATCGAGAAAATGCTATAGTTTCTTCGGTTTTTTCCCCAAAACTCGCAATCAGCTCCATATAATTGAAGTGACACCCATCACAGACTTCCATGGTGGGAAATGAATTTGAATTTGGAAATATGAGAAACCCAAAATAAAAATCGATATTGGTTGGGCCAAAAATACTGCAAATTAAACCACAAATCATATTAATTGGTTGCAAAAAAAAAACCAAGTTTTGATTGGTCGCATGACGTGTACGGGAACGCATGCGTGTGATGATTTATGAAGGAGACACGCAGGAGACACGTAGTGTGAGAGGTGAGGTAGGCGATAATGGCGGAAGATTCATGGAAGAAAATAGAGAAATTTTTGGATATGCTATCTCCGTTATTATACATTTGTGACAGTAATGTAATAGATGAAAATGATCTTAAAATTAGACGTCTTATTAGAATATGATAATAGATTAGTGGTAGGAATGTGTAATGTGTAAATGCAAAAATACCATATCATAATTTTTAGATGTAATTTATTAAGGGGTTTGTAAAAAAAATAATTGGGTTCCTTTTCAAATAATTTGGAATTATTTTACTTTTTTGAGATAAACAAATTTGATCGTGTATATGTATGTATATTTTTTTTTATTTGATCTTTTTCAGTAAATTAATACAGTTTGAATATTTAGAATGAAAATTCATTCTCAGAAATGAAAGTAAAATTGTGAAAATAGAAAATACTGTTAAGTTTAGGTGTGTATGCTTAATATATTCATACAATGAAATATTTATCAGATTATTAAAATTTACTGTGTAATCTACAGTGGCAAGCAGGTTGTGGCGTGCATGCATCTGGCATTTTAACACTTTAGGTGTGTTGGTGGTACATCGGTAACGCGCATAACTCTCACCAATATGTCAAGGGTTCGAGCCTCGGCCGGAAAACACGTGAGAAGGGTGTTATCCAGTGTGACCCTACCAAACATCACAGGTTTCCCGGCCCACGGTTTCTTCCTGTACTGACACTGGATAGAGTGCCCAAGCGGCTAGTAAGCTGATAAGTGGCGAATGTGATAAAAAAAAAAAGGCAGAAACATCATTGGGAGCAATTTTTGCATGAACCACTGATTGTTTGTGTAAATTGGCCAATGGTGTGGAGTAAATTTTATGTAATGGGAATAACAAATTTCACTCCTCGCCATTGCATTATGCGCGGGGTCGTGACGGACATAAACAACTAGCTGAAATATTAATAAAAAATTAATCTGAGAAATTAATAAACTTCCGGTAGTCTAGAGGCCTCCCTATTCTCTTGATACACTCCTGCAGGCAAGAAGGAACTGACTCTGCCAAGTTGTGGATTATTTGTGGGTCTTAATTTTTCCACTCCTCACGAATGGCTGTTTCCAGCTTCGGGACAGTATTTGTGTCAGGCAATTGCTTGGGCAATCACTTATGAAGTCTACCTGACAGTCAACAAGCCATTGTATTACAGATTTTGCAGTGTGACATGGGGTAACATCCTGCATAAACACATCAGCGCGGCATTTTTGCACCCATCCTTCTCTTAACTCCTTGAACACATCCCTCTGCCTCTTATGTAACAAATTTTCTAACAACGAAGTGAAGTTGTGGAATGCATTCACTTCATTAACATTACTGAACTCAGTACAGTGACCCCTCGGTTAACGAACTCAATCCGTTCCAGAAGGTCGTTCATTAACCGAAAAGTTCGTTAACCGAAACCATTGTTTCAATGGGTTTTTGGGTAATTGGTTCCAGCTCACCGAAAATTTCCTAAATTCAACAAAAATGGTAGAAAAGTTCACATACTTTGAGGTGTGTATGTAGAAGGCTCCTGGATGATGATGATGATGATGGGAATTAGAATGGGGGTGGAGGAGAAGGAAGAAGAGAAGGCATTGGGGTGGAAGAGAAGTCACCCCATGGCACCATTTCACCCATAAAATTTTAGTTCTCTTGGTGTATTTCACGATTATTTTCTTTAAATCAACACTGCACTGCATTATATATTGTCAATATGTAAAATATATTTCAAAATGACCAATAATTTGCTTGGAAACACAGAAAAAAAGCATTTAGTTGAAGAGAGTCTCAAGCAATATGTTACCTCCAGTGAAAACAGAGAGAGACTAACGCCTGTTTGCTGTGTTAAGAGGCTGGATGCCGCGCATTAAACTAGTCACTTTACCTTCAATTATGTTCAATAATTGTTAAAATGACTAGAAAATTGAATTTTAAACTTTTAAAATTATTGAATAGTATAAACTTCTTGATATTTACTAAAATAGTAAGGAATTTAAGCCCTAGAACCGATTAATGTATTGGCGGACTAATACTACAGCTGGTGGACCGCCAAATGCAAGCGAAAACATGTTGAAGTCGGCTCGTAAAAAACTCGTTAATCGAGGGATTGCTCGTTAACCGAAGTTAAGAATCTTATGGAAGGTAAATCGTTAACCGAAATCTCGTTAACCGAGGCGCTCGTTAACCGAGGCGCTCGTTAACCGAGGGACCACTGTACTGGTAATTAAAGGACCTTATGAAGCTCATAGCCCCACTTGTTTACGATCATATCAGAGATTGTAGAGCTAAATTATTTTGACATCATTATCATCATCAGGTTGGGTTTTTATCTCCAAAGCTCTCAGTACCCAGTCGCCCTCTTAGCTCTTTCAACGTCACATTACACATCCATCTCACTGTGTCATTTCAATTTGCTCAAGCTGATGTATGCCGTCCTCTTTAATTGCCATAAATCATTTTTCTTTCAAGCGAAAAAGTGGTTCCCCTCTCTGTTAATAAAGCCCCTTGACTTGTAACTGAGCTAGCTTTGGCACTATCTCCATCACTGTGATCTTATCACCGAGGTAGCAGAGCTCTTTGAAACAGTCCAGGAAAATTTCCTCACTGTCAAGCTTTTCCAGTCTTGCTCAACAACATGATAACCTGCACGCACTGTACACGACTCTTACAGTCAGTGACATACTGCAGTTTGCCATTTACACCACTGCACCTCTTGTGTATGCATCTTTTGCACTCACTGCACATTACTGAATTACTACCAACACATTTCTTATACTGGATGGGGGGAGTCCCCGGGTTACGAACGGGTTTCATTCCTGAGGACGTTCTTAAGTCCGATTTGTATATAAGTCAGAACACATGATATGTGCATACTGTACTTAAAGAATAATGTTTAAAATCCCACCATATCATAGCCTAAGTCCTTATGTGCATCAAAAATCACTTAATTTAAGACAAAAGAAGAAATAGAATGACAAAATACAGTAAATGAAAGTAAAAAATAAGTTGTGGTAAATAAAATACAGTACTGTAAATTTCATGTTTAACCCCATTCGTAGGTCGAGGATACCCTGATTAGCCATTCCACTTCACTCATGCCAATAATCAACACTGTATTCTTTTTTTTTCAATGTTCACTCCCATACACTTTGACTTCATATCATCCTTCCACTTTTTAAGTTTCTACACTGTCTCTTCAGTACATACTATCTGCTCTCAATGCCAAGTCCTAGGTACTCTATGCAACACTGCCCAGGGCAGACCTGTCCTAAAATCATACATAATAGTGCCTCCAACACCATGATAAACAGAAGGGAGCTCAAGACCGACCCATGGTGGACCCCTATTTTTGTCTCATTAGCTGGAATAATTGGTGCAGAGCAGTTCCGGGATTGAGAGATTTTTGGGTAAGGAGACTAATTTTCTCATCTCTGAAAAAAATCACACATCCCTGGAATTTTCCCGGGTACTGGGGAAAGTTTTCAGTCTTAAACTATGCATCTTGCATGGACAGACACAGAGCTGCATTTATTTACATAAACATCACTGTACTGTACAAGTGTAATTTGTTGAAAATAAACAAAATATACCATTGTACTGTACAGTTGGGTCTGGATATATCGTGAGATAGGGTCCAAAGATGTTCACTATATACTAAATCGTGATTTATAATTACATGTAATCAAGGGAGAAAATAGGGTTAGGTTCTGGAGGCCAATAAAGGTGACTAAACTTGACTTAACAAGTTTATTTTCTTCCTAACTAAAGCACCAATGAACACTAGACTCGGGAACAACAGACTTTTCAATATCAATATCAAGGAACACCAGACTCGGCAGCTGACGCACCATCCCGGGAACACCAAACTCGGCAGCAGACGCCACAATGCCACCCTCACTTGACAATCCCACACCTACATAAATGAACAAACCAAAAATATTAGTTACAATATTAAATATTTTCCATTAAGCTTTCCATTCTCTTTTAACTTCACTTTTCACATCACTAGCGACCCATTTACACTCACCTTAGAAGTCGTAACCTGCAGCAGTCGGCTGCTTACTCGTCACCCACTCAGAAAGACTGAGCGGGCGAGTGTGAATGTGTGGGTGAGCAGCCATGGTGGCACCTCTGGTGAGCAAATAACGCATTTGTTTGCCATGGCGGTACATTCAAAATATTTCCTGCCCGATTTCCCTCGCGAAATAAATAAATTTTTTGCTATATATTGGAAAATTTCGATAATTTTGGTAGCCGCGACATAAAAAAATTGCAATATATCCCGACCCTACTGTATACACTATACAGTATTGTACTCACCAGCACATGCTGTCGTCTTAATCTTGTGATGCAGGCAGGTCAAATGGTGATATGATGGGCCTGCCTTTGTCCTGTATCATCTACTGTAGCAGGTATTGCTAACTGTCTCTCTCCTCTCCCTCCATGAAAGAAGGATTGTACTGTACATACACCCTATACACACAAGCATACACTGTCCATTCTGCTATGTACTGTACTTTACATATGGTATTTTCACACTTACCAGTACAGAATGTATAGTACGGTATACTGTATGTAACTGTAATCACTTTTCACTTCTTAACACCACTTTAATGATATTCTTGGCTGATAATATACTAGTACAGTACTGTACAGTACTGCATAACACATATATATTATGCACTCTGAGCCTACCCACCCACCCAGCACGTGTCCCTGCATTGGAAACATGAGGCAACCTCTTGGAAATTCGGTCCCATGCCCAGAACGGAGAGATTTTATCAAAATTTTCCGGAATTGCGCATGATGTAATCCTCGGAAGTTTGTTCTCATGCCCGGAATGAAGAGATTTTCCCAGAATTTCTCGGAATGCTTAAAAAAAAATTCCAGCTATTGGAGAGTTCCGAGGATAAAAAATTCCATAACAGAGAGATGGCAGTAATACTGTACAGTATTTTCGAATCCTAATACAATTCCATAACAACTTGAACAAGACAATCTCAACCCCAAACTTTCTCATTGCCCACTGTGGTACCCTGTCATATGCTTTGTTGAAGACTATGAATACAATGTACTGTACAGCTTTCTCTCCTTCCCTAATTATTTCTCTTGATTTACCTTGCCATAAATATTGTCTCTGTAGTACCCATGCCTGACATGAACTCAAACTGTATTTCATTAATGTCTGCTTTCTTCATTATCAGAATTTATCACTTTCCAGACCTAACCTATTTAACCCTACCTACAATAATGAATTTAAATTATTTGACCATTTGTTAATTGAAGTATAGGTGGGTCATTTTGGTTTGGTTCTAAATAGCCCAATACTTCCAGACTCAGTCATACACAGACAAGATGTCATTTCCATGATGATTTGCATCTTATGATATGTTTTGCTATGATTTTTGCTGATATATTTGTTTCAATACTGTACTGTAGAATAAAAGCAAGGAGAAACTATGCAGGATTTCTTTAAAAGTAACAATTTGAATAGTACGGATGAAACTTGCACTCTTGTTCTGTTCTTGATCAGATTGAGTTGACAGAGCCAAACCATTTATGGAAGAAAACAAAACAAACCGAAGTTAAACTAGAAATCGTTAGGTAGTTTTAGTTAGGCTTGAATAACTTTGTCTCGTCTCATTAATGGCTTTACTTGATGCTTAGCCTCTTGACACAATCTTGGATTCCCTGTACAGTGTTTACCCAGAAATAGGTGGATCATAGCTGTCACCCGTATAGTATGCCATATTTCACATAGTACTAATGACAAAGTTCTCTTATATTGTATATGTGTTTAGTTTACACTTGGTTATTTTACCACTTTGTCATAAAGAAAATGTGAATTGTAATACTTTAAATAATTGTTGTACATTACGTACTGTGTTTATAAAGGTTTGTTGTCATATCTTCATTAAGTCACACACACACTAAGGTTTTAAATTTTTTATGCACTCTTTTAAAATTTCCTCCTGTTTTCAAAAAAAAAAAAAAAATTATCATTATATTCCATACCTAAACTTTTTCTTGTATCATACTTAAAATTTAATGTTTTTTAGGGTCTCAATGTTCAAATATTTTAGTTTCAGCAGCAACACATGTTCTTTGTTTTTGTTTCCATACAGAGCCACAGTGGATAAGACAGATTCATCATGGCAGATGTTTCATCTATAGAACATCCCACATTAAAAGTGAGTTGATACCTATTGTGTTATGTACTCATAGAACCAGTTGACTTACTGTACTTGCAAAGCTCTTTAAACAATCAATTTCTATGCACTGATCATAGTTCTTAGGTTAGTTGTGCATGTCAGATTTATCCACAAACAATTCAGCTATTTTAATTCATTGGAGAAACTTGCTTCAGTGAGTCAAATGACTCTCTATTTAAAGAGTGAAGGTTTGATGATAATATTCTCATGCAGTAGTGTAGTTGTGGATTAATATTTTTTGGGGGGGATATTTAACATGTTTTATTTCTATGCACCTTTATAGCCCAGGGTAGTTACACTGACTCAGCATGACAGTAATGCCTTATCATGCTGCCTAAATACTGTACAGTACAGTGGTGATGCTACTACTTAGAACATAAGAATGAAAGCAACTGTAATGGGCCTATTGGCCCATACTAGGCAGCCCCGTTTACACTCAATCCATATTGCTCATATATCTGTCCAACCTATATTTGAAGCTTCTCAGTCTGTTGGAGTTAATGAGGGTATTCAGTAACTTGTTCCACTCATCCACTACAGTACTCTATTTCCAAACTAGTGTTTACCTATCTCACACCGAAATCTAAATTAAGCTCACTAGTTAGATAGTTTAAGAACCTTTGTTATGTCACCTTTATTTAACCCTACCTTCCATTTATACACCTCAATCATACCGCCCCTCACTCTATGTCTCTCGAGGGAGTGCAAATTCAGATGCTTTAATCTGTCTCTGTACTCAAGGTTCCTAATGCCCAAGATTAGCCTTGTCATCCTCCTCTGAATGATTTCTAGGGATTCAATATCCATTCTATAGTATGGTGACCAAAACTGAACCGCATAATCCAAGTGAGGTCTCACATATTCGAGATACAGTTTAATTTTAGGATAACCTTGCTAGTCTTGTAACTAACACTCCTTTGTATGAACCCAAGCACAGTTGAATCCTGGTTATCCGGCACCTACAGCATAATAAAAGGTGTACAGTTTTGGGCCCTGAACATTTGTGCTGAAGTAGTACTGCCGTCCAGCTCAATTCAATGCCAATTATTGTTTAGAAAGTACAGTTCAGGTATTTGTAGATCTGGATACACAGCCCTGGCACCATTATCCAAAAACTGTACACATAAATAACTTAACTAACGAACAATTGGTCACTGAGACCTATGGTTGGTTGTCATACACATTGCTTCATTGCTTAGTCGCTGTATAACAAACAGCTTTTTAAGTAACTTAAATCCTGAAAACTTAATAAGTAATGCTTTCTAATTTATGTTTATCTTAAGTTTTAGGTCTTGTATTTATGAAGATATAGTACAGTACAATACAGTACAGTACAGTACAGTACAGTACAGTACAGTACAGTACAGTACAGTACAGTACTGTACAGTATATGAAAAGTGTCATTGTATATACCTGATAAACCAATTTCAATTTCAAACAAAAAAATAATAATCGATTCTGGAGGCATGTTATGCTTGATATTTCCTATATTTTATCCTTTTTGCCTACTGTGGTATTGTAGTTTGTTGAAGATTATGAGTTTAATGGGGCATCTCACCTATGTGGAGTTACAGGAAAGGGAGATTTTTATATCACAGGAGGAGACTTAGCTTATTGAAGGGGGTCAACTACAGAACTGTTTGTATTTTGGTGTGTTCAATAATTGTAAGTACACTAGTGCACAGTCTGTATAGTCATATTAAATAAGAAACTGCACTAAGATTATAGACCTATACTCAGCCTATACTGTACAATATATCTGTCCAATTTATATCTGAAATTTCCCAATGAATTCAAGTTAATGATGGTGTTTGATAACTTATTCCACTCATCTACGTGTCTGTTTCCAAACCAATGTTCACTAATTCCCTCTTAAATTTAAATGTTTTTGGATTTAAAACTACAGTATTGCGATGTGTTCACTCCTGATTTTATAATTTAAGTACACTACTGTAGGTATATCACCTTTACGAACATATTGTATCAAGACCACTGTAATGCTGCCTTTGGGTGCATTTTAGAGAAACTTAAATATAATTTGCAGTCAGATGAACTCTTCATATTTTTTAAAGAGTGTCAGCCTGTTTGTATGTTGAATACCTGTACAGTAATTTACTGTATATGAGACTGTATTGTACAGTAGTGGAATGAGAAGGGTGATATACTGCTTTGACATGGGCTTTATTATTCCATGATTTTTGCTGCTCTGGTAAAGTGATGTTCTCCCACATCAGAAATCAATGATTTTATCTTGGGAACAGGTGTGTTGTATATTTATTTCTTGTTGGAAGTAATTGTTCTTGGATACAGGCAGTCCTAGGTTATATACAGGATCTGCTCCTACGGACGTTCTTAAGTCGAAAATGTACTCAAGTCGAACCACATACCCTATGTGCATGCCGTACTTATAGGACAATGTTTAAAATCCCACTACTGCATATGATAGCCTAGCCCTAAGTCCTTATATATATCTACAATTACTTAATTTGAGAGAAAAGAAGGAATAGAATGATAATTTACAGTAAATGAAAGTAAAAAATAAGTCACCAGGTAAAGGTAGTAGGCAGCTATCGGACAGGGAGGTGCTTCTGCCTGGGAAGATATTGGAAGCGTAATGTATTTTTTAATACTGTAGTAGACCCTGCTGCCAAATGGCATCACAAAAATTATGACCAAGTCCCAGGTTGCTGATCTGACTTTCTGCCTCATTTACACACAACTGCAGGGTCTCAAATGTTTCTTTTTCATTGACACCACAAAATACACTATACTGTACTGTATATCGTTTTTCACTATTGATTTGGTTATTTTTTCATTTCTGTATTTATTTTTTATTCAATCTCCCCCCCCCTCCTCCTCCTCCTCCTCCTCCTCCTCCTCCTCCTCCTCCTCCTCCTCCCAGGCCCCGATGTGGGCTGGTCACCTGTGCCTGGGTGGGCTGATCCAAGTAAAAAAAAAAAAAAAAACTTTATGGGACCTCGTTCATATTGGTGGATGTTTGTAAGGTACGTAACTCGAGGACCTGCTGCATATTTTTATTTCAATAATTGAGGCATATGTCAAGAGGCTCTCAACTGACAGACTAACATATTCTACTAGACATCTGGATTAGAAGGTGAGAATAATTTTACTTCATGTGTGTTTTAGGTACCATACGATGTGCTGAACAAGAAATTCCGGCTGGCACAGAAAACTTTAGACCGAGAAGTTTGCCATGTTACCTCTGCCGTAACTGAACTGGAGCGAGTCCTCTTCACAGACAGCCGCAGTGCCTCACAAATATCATCTTTACTTGGTGGCGTTGTTGAAAAATTATCTTCCTTCAAGCGTAAGGTATGGGTGTAGGGTATTGTACTTATGTTGGTATTCGTAAAACATTCTTTCCATAGACAGTCACTTGGAAGGAATTTTTTTAGTGAATTTCATATTCAAGAAAATTTCCTTTCCTTCAAACAGGACAAATTACTGGAACTTGAATGAAATACCTGTATTTGGACCATCCCTTCAAAAATTCTTTCATAAATTTATTGTCTCATGTTGATTGATTGTTCTGAATAATGAAAAATACAGTAAGTTGAGCAAAGTCATACTATATTTCTATAATCATAATGTAGTCTGATTTATTGTGGTATCAATAACCTTAACCTTAACAATTTCCTGCATCTGTTATGATATTTATGCCATCAATACGTCACTAGTGTACTATGATGACACGTTCTTGTGATCTCCCCCAACTGTTGGTAAATTTTTTTTTTTGTGCCTGCCAGGTTATTTTGAAATAATTTATCAAAAAATTCAGCTGAACTACTGTACAATATTGGATAATATTAAGCTATGACTTTTTTTGTGATATCTAAAATTAAATGGTGTATTTCTAGATATTTTCCCCCATTTCAATGATGATAATCATATCTTGCATAAATGATTTTTATTAGAGGTTATGTGCAATTCAAACCTTAACAAACCTTCCTAACCTTGCCTATGTGTGGGTTTGTAATCTACAGCCAGCATTTATTCTGGCTGTAGGGGATAACCCTCATGCATTGGTAGGGCTTGGAAGGTTTGCCAGTTTTGAATGACGCATAGTCTAATTGGTGTCTATACAGTAATACCCCGCTTTACGCGGTTCTCGTTTATGCGTTTCTACATTTACGCGGTACCCTGCCAGAACCGGAATTCCCACTTTACGCGGTGCATCTGGTGCATCTACACATATACGCGGGTTAAGTATAATTTTTTATTTAGATCATAAAATTCATACAAATTACCTGGCCAGAATATAATTTACATTGCTGGAATTCTTACAATATGATGATCATTTAGAATATAAACATCATAGATTTTGCATTAGACATACAAATTTTAAATCTAATGTAAGAATTTTGTTTACTCAAAGCAAATATGTTATCTTTTGTGCAAAATATATGAACTGTATATTAAAAATATTCCTGGTCTTGCAAGGAATCCAGCAATGTCAATTATATTATCCTAACTTTAGTCTGAAGTACTATTTATTACTAAAAATGTAAATATACTGTTTTAACCCAAACATTTCTCTGGTAGGGAGGGAGGGAGGGACCCAGCGTGCGTGGGAAGAGGGAGGGAGCCTGAGGTGGGGTATTTTGATTGACAGATATTGTTTGGGTGAAGTATATATTTTTTATTTATTGAAGATATTTGTTTTAGCTCATAAAATTCATACAAATTACCCGGCCAGAATATAATTTACATTGCTGGAATTCTTACAATATGATGATCATTTTGAATATAAACATCATAGATTTTGCATTAGACATACAAATTTTAGATCTAATGTAAGAATTTTGTTTACTCAGAGCAAATATGTTATCTTTTGTGCAAAATATATGACGTGTATATTCAATATATTCCTGGTCTTGCAAGGAATCCACCAATGTCAATTATATTATCCTAACTTTAGTTTGAGGTATTATTTATGACTACCGGTATACCTTAAAATCTAGTGTTTTCACCCAAGCATTTCTCAGTTCTCAGAGAGGGAGGAGTCAGCAAGTGTGGGAAGAGGGGGGGGGGTGGAGTTGAGTCCATTATTTGAATGGACATTAACTTGGCGACTGTATTTCTCTTAAATATTAATTGTGTGTGTATACCATCATAAAATTAAGATGTTATTTTTACTTGAACATAGGTATTGTGTCGGAAAAAGTGGAGTTTGGGAGTCGGCCCAGTCTCTATTTCAATTAATCCCATATGTTCTGTAATTCCATTTACGCGTTTCTCGTTTTACGCGGACCTCTGCGGGTTCAATTGACAGCGTAAATCAAATCGGGGTATTACTGTACAGTACTCAGAAATTGCTGTGCTCCACACACTTGTTTTCTTGAGTGAAAACTAAAAGAAAAAAGATAATGTGCAAGAATTGATTTTCACCACTGAATAGAGGCAAAAAATGTGATCTAAAAATATTTACTAATTTTTTTATACAGTATTTAAAAATTTTAGAGCACCATAATGGGCATAAAACAAAAATGAATGCAACAGTTTTCTATATATTATCCACAGAATAGCCCTACAGCAAATGTGAAAATGTGGTAAAAAATGTGGGTTTGTTTAAAATTATGAGGCTCCAACGTACATTGCTTTTTGTGGAGGAACAGGGTTACCAACAGGGGATTTCAGCTTTTCAGTGCAAAAAATTCTTTATGCATAGTGGAGGAAAGAAAAATTCTCTGACCGGAAGTAATAATTGGCAGAAGAGAATTTTTTAAGAGAACCAACACTTTGTAGGCATTTTTCAGAAAGGAGAATGCAATACATTTTAATTTGGATTAAACTCATTAATATTGCTATTTACTGTTCAGTTATGATTACAGTATTGTTATTGTTTAGAATTACTGGCATTGATTGCCTTCAAGTTCTTAAAAACAAATTTAGTGTCCTACTATTGAGTGTGAGATTTTTTTTGTAGAAAGAATATAGTCAATACTGTACTGTATCTCCAAATTTGTGATGGTAGTTGTGGGAAATTTACTTTGATCTATAGCTTCTGCACATGTGAGGCTAAAGAGCTGGCGAGAAAACTACTGTAAATGGTAGTGGAAGTTCTTACTTGTGTCAAGTTTCAGGGTCCTTATTAATAAATTTATTAAAGAAATATGTACTTAAAAGGTTGTGTATGTTACAGGCAGAAGAAGCTACCCAGGAGGAGATGGAATCTGGACGTGTGGTGAAGCGTCGTGTAGATCATCTGAAAGACCATGATTCACTCAGTCCTTCGGTGGTAACAGAATGGAAACGCACTAGACTTGATCGATTGTTAGTGGAGTATCTTCTTCGTGCTGGATGTTACTCAACAGCCACCAAGGTCAACTGAAAAACTATAAGACATGAGGAAAATTCTAATGCTTATAGTATCTACAGTACTGTACTTTCTTATTATTACTGTACAGTGGTCCCTCCATTAACAAACGGTTCGATTAACAAAATTTCGGTTTGCGAATTAGCTCCCATAAGGATTTTCAGTTCCATTAACGAACAAAACTTCGATTAAAGAATGCCTCAGGAGAAACACGCTTTGTTGTGCGCTTCAGCTGATCAGCTAGTCCGCCAATACAGTAATCGGTTCTATGTTTACATTCATTTCCAGGGGATTAAATATCAAGAAAGTTGTGTTCTTGAATATTTTTGCATTTTTTATATTAAAATTATTGGTCATTCTAAAATTTAGTTAACATATTGATAATATAGACAGCACAGGGAACAGATTTTATGTGCCCATCAGCTGATTGAATCAACGCTTCTCAGTTTAACTGTGTTTACAGTGGAGTGAACGTCGAGTTTGTCGGTCTCTTGAATATTTTTCATTTTTACATTCAAATTATTGGTCATTCTGAAATTTAGTTAACATATTGATAATATACAGTGCAGAAATTATTATGAAACATGAAGAAGGCATTAGAACCAATGCACTCTGTAAAGAATATAGCATGTAATCAACTACTGCCTCTACAATCAGCTGTTTGATATGTAAACAAAGCTGCTGGGAATACGACATATACACCTCAAAGTAAGTTAAAATACAGTATTCTATTGTTTTTTATTTATTATTGTACAGTATACTGTACAGTACAGTACTGTATTTAGTTTATATTTATGTTTTGTTAATTCTATTACTGGTATACTGTACTTTGTATGTATACTTTTTCTGTGAGTTGGAACCATTTACCCAATATCCCATTGAAATTATAGATTCGGTTAACAAAGTTTTTGGTTAACGAACGACTCAGTGGAATGAATTGTGTTTGTTAATCAAGGGACTACTGTACTGTATTATATTAATTTTAGAAACTACTTTTTCTTAGATTATATGCCTCTGGTAGCACTCATAAAACTAGGTCATATAGAGGGCAAACTGATGATTTATATGTTTACCTTGTGGCTACCGTACCTTGTGGCTACCATACCTTGTGGCTATCATACCTCCTTGTCATCATACCTTGTGGCCACCATACCTTGTGGCTACCATTAGGGTGTGACAGTTTCCCCAACTTTGTCCTACAATGCTGTTCAAAATTTTGGTGCTGCATATTGACATAAAAAATACCCACGTGCAATTTTTTGAAGATTCATGCATATTTGAGTGAGCACCAGCAATTTGAAAAATAGCGATTTTGCTTATACGGCATACGCGCCTATATATGAGATTACACAACCATCATAAGGGATATTAACACAAATCATTTGCCTGTCTTAATTAAAAGCTGTTATCACTAACACAAAAAAGTTAATCATTCTTATTCTCTCATGGTTTTATCATATTTTCACAAGGTATTATTTCTCTAGAGCAAGAAACCATGATTTCTGTTTGGAAACAGATGATCGTTTGCGCTGATTAGGAACGCGGAGTCTGTCATTTTCAACTTCTTGAAGGACTTTTTGAAAGCGCTCCTCATCCCTGGCAACATTAAGAAAGTCATGGCAAAGTTTTACACCACGCTCTGCAGCCTCATTGACGACCTGAAGCTTGTCCACAACCCGTTTCATGTTCAGGTAGTCGTCATGATCCGCCCATTCACTGGCTGGACTGTGGAGAAACTGATAGGGCATGCCTAAAATGGTGAAGAACCGGCTTGAGTCAGGCCCAATTAGGTCCACCAGGGCAGTGCCACTTTCTGGGACGGGGGAAGATATGGCTTTCCATAGCCCCCATGATTGAGCCCCACTCTCTTAGTTACTTCAGTGCCTTCATGGCAAAGAAGGGCCTTCCTCATCTCCTCTTTTGTCCTTTCTTGTACTTGGGACGAGAACAAAGCCAGTGGGGCCAACTCCTCAGTTAGGTACCAAGTGTGTCTACCGAGTGCCACACGTGCTTTGTCAACTATTGTGGCGTCATATGGGGCAAATTCAGCCAAGGTTTCGACCAAATTCAAGTCATTCAGTGGCGCACTTGCTGGAACGGGGTAAACAATCTACCATGGGACATAAACAGCGACTGTGAACACAGAAAACCGTTCTAACTTGCTGATTTGACTTTTAGTCACAACCTTGGCTTTGGGAAACTGCTCTTTGATCTGGCCTGACAAAAGAACGATCTTGAGGGTATAGAGCAGTTTAGCCATCCACCTTGCTTTGTGAAGTGCGCTGGGGTAGATCATCGTGAAGTTCACTGGCTCGGATTCTTTAGTTGCAATCAGCAGACAAAGCTCTACCAGCTCCTTGTAGTCGTCATGCTCAATTCTGATTTTGAATTCATAATTCCAGGATCATCAGTCCGTCTTCTATCCTCATTCTTTTTCATAAGCATCATGTAGTCTTTGTCATAGTAAGTTTTAATCACCCGGCCAATATTGTTCTTGCCTGTAATGGTCGGGATATTCGCCTTCTGGTAATGCAAAAGCACATTGTCAATGGTGGCAGATAAAGCCTGGGCCCAATGCATATCCCGAAGGTTTGCTAACAGACATAGTAAGACCTGCCTATTAGTTGGCAGTTTGCAGCCCTTTATTTCCTTTTCTTCTTCTTGGGGTACGGTGCCCAATAACATTCTGACATACTCATCGTCTTGCCGTGTATCCATGATTAAATTCTCTATTCACAACATCAAATCACTGTCAAGGGAAAAGAAAAGAGCATCATTAAAATTAAATGCAATAAAATAATACGTGGAAAATTTGTGGGTCAGCGTTCCAGACCCGGAAATGAAAATCTGATAAAATGTGCTATTTTCACACTTACAATAACTTTATACCATAAGATTTTAATAAAGAATCCATTATACATGAGTATTATACAGCACTAGCATTATTAATATATAATTATTATACAGGAGCACATATTAACCATAAAAATTAACATTATAAAAGGATCAACCTACAGTGTCTAGCCTAAGTCACCAAACAAATATAGCACAATGCTGTGGCCTATGCCTTTCAGAAGCTCCTCCAAGGTCTTTCTCGCATTCACAAAGTCCAGACATGGGTCTGATTCTCTCCATCAGCAGTTGCCTGGTGGACCTTCCATAACTGTGATGGAAACAGGAGAGGAATCCTTCTAAGGCATACTGGGGGAATTACTCCATCAGGTAGAGCTGGTGCTTGACACATGTGTGATATTGAAATAGTCCACTAAGTTTTCCACATTAAATTAGGTCATTCATGTATCATGGCCAGAGGGTTGGACAGGGATTTGTGGATTCAGGTAGTTGGCAGAAACCAGTCAGGTCATTAATGTAACAGTCTTAAGTTATGTTTATACCATTTCGTATGCAAATGAGATTAATTTCAACTCAGATGGTAGATTATTTTTATTTTTAAATACTACAAAGTTCACAAAAACAGTATATTCCCACCAGAGAATATACCGGGGTAATTTATGATTTTATTAAATTTTCACAGAGGGGGTGGGGGGGGGTTGTCCTACTTTACACTTTAACTGAGGGGTTTTGTCCATTACCTGGCCATCATACCTTAAGGTTACAACACCATGTGGCCATCATACCTTGTGGCCATCATACCTTTTGGCCACCATACCTTGTGGCCATCATACCTTGTGGCTGTCATACCTTGTGGCTGTCATACCTTGTGACTGTCATACCTTGTGGCTGTCATACTTTGTGGCTGTCATACCTTGTGGCCATCATACCTTGTGGCCATCATACCTTTTGGCCACCATACCTTGTGGCCATCATACCTTGTGGCTGTCATACCTTGTGGCTGTCATACCTTGTGACTGTCATACCTTGTGGCTGTCATACTTTGTGACTGTCATACCTTGTGGCCATCACACCTTGTGGCCATCATACCTTGTGGCTGTCATACCTTGTAACTGTCATACCTTGTGGCCATCACACCTTGTGGTCACCATACCTTGTGGTTACCAGACCTTGTTTCTGTCATACCTTGTCGACATCATACACACAAATACGAACTTCCATATATACCAATAAATTCCTTCTATTGTCAAGGCAGCATGTCTTTTTTTCTATACTAGTGAATAACTTAATTAATTTTCTTTTGTCATGAATATTACAGTTAGCAAGTTCACGTAGTATAGAAGGGCTTACGAACTTGGATGTGTTCCTGGTTGCAAGAGAGGTGGAGCAGTCATTAGGTTGCCGTGACACAAGCAAGTGCCTTTCCTGGTGCCATGATAACAAGAGCAAGTTAAGAAAGCTCAACTCCTCCCTGGAGTTCAATGTGCGGATGCAAGAGTTCATTGAACTTATCAAGAGTGATCGTCGAATGGAAGCTATCAGGTGAGTGAATGAAAAGTTAATAGCCTTGGATTAAACATACATGATAAGATGAATGAGAAATACTTCTTACAGAAAAGGTAATACTGTATAAGTGAATAAATAAATGATATAGATAGAAATCTTATATGTATGAATCATTGGTGTGTGTCCTGTAAACATAAAAAAATTCAAACTGTTTAATATCATTATTATGCACTTTTATATTGCATAATTTACATTAATATGGCAAATGAATGCAGGACATTTTTATAATACTGTACTAGCATTTCACACCAACACTGTTTCCATGACAGAAATGACTTAAGTTGTCCCATGGTGAGGTGTGCAGATATCTTGTGTTGTAAATTAGAATCAACTCTAAACTAAATCATGTACACTGCACTAAACCTCTTACTGCATTACAGTAAAATCCAACAGTAATGTCTGGTTGTGAATTATGAAGAGAGTTTTAGATATAGAGGAAAGGTCTTTAAAACTACAAAAGAGTCAAACACAATGGTGAATTAATATAATACCTATACTGTTAATTATAACCAGTACGACCTTTATAGCGATACAATTTATACATGACCTCTTTACTGGTGTGATTCCCAGCCAAGACAGTTTGTGGTGCATCCTGTACACTGATCAGCTGTTAATTAATCAAAACCTAGTCTAAGGTAAATCATACATACTATTGCATAAGAATATACAATACATTGACACACAAGCATATAATCTAAGCATATAATCTTACATTTGGACACATAAATGCACATTTTTACATAAAGCCACAAACACATGCTGTACTTGTATGCCATAGACACACAAACACGTACTGTACTCCTATGTACAGTCACACACACACACACACTGTCAATCCTATGTACACAAATACAGTACTCATTAATATATCTTGTTGGCTACATTAAAAAAATATACATGTTCTGTACCTGAATTGAATAGATGCACATATGCAGACACACTCTTCTGTTTAAGCACGCATAATCCAATACATACACTAACATTATACCTGCAGTATGGTCTTGCTTAATGAGTGATAAGTTAGACAAAAAATGGTTTAATGACCTTAGTTTTTTACTGTATGAAAATATAAATAATTAAATTCTATTCAATTAAACAAGCAAAATTTCATGGGAAAGACTGTTTACCTGCCTGCCTGGATCCTCAAATGACACATGCCAGTTTCCTCAAAATTAACCAACTGTTTTCTCACTCAAGGTGACACCAAAGAGGTAATTAGGTAACTAAAGAAACTCAAAATAATCCTCTTGAAAAACTTAATGACCCAGCTCATCATTGTATCTCAAGTTCTAAAAGATTTTAAAGTTATAAATGGATCAGTGAACCATCCAGAGATTGTAGCTTTACTTAGATGAGTCTGAAGGAAACTCAAAATGACTGATCAATGAAAACAGATGACTGATCCATGATTTGATGAGAAAGCAAATAAATCACAAACAGAGCCTAATCTCCTTGTTGATTCAAGAGCATTCTCTTACTTTGATGGAGTAGCCAGTACCAGATACACATCTGTGGAAATTAAGGAGCTCTCACGGTGCCCTTTATCTTTACTCTAAAGCATCCCAACAAAGGGAGACAAACCGATGTCTTTTATGAAGGAAAAAATTATTGAAAGTTAGGATTCTTAGCTATTTTCTTATGATGCTTGCAGTTGTGAATTTAGTTTGGTATAAATAGATAGACAAAGAGGAACAAATCAAAGCTTGTAATCAGTATTATGATGAATTGATTTACTCAGTTTACTATGGTTTTGATGATACTTGTGCTTTCAGGCATGCAAGAAAGCACTTTACAGGACAAGAACCTGGGCATTTGCCCTCCATACAACGATGTATGGCACTCATTGCTTTCCCAGCCAACACAGGTAAGCTCTGTTTCAAGATATTAATTTTTTTTAATAATTAAGTCATTAGTTGAGATGTTTTTTAAGTAAGGTACTGTATATCAATGGATACTCATAGAGTTACAACAGGACACTGGCAAGTGGAGATATTTGCTTATGCACAGGGAAGATTGAATGGGGACAAATTTGTCTTGTATTTGATAGATACATTATTACCCTACCCACAACTGTGGGGCAGGGTATTGCTTTAGGTTCTGTTTCTCAGTCAGTCTTTCTACTGTCCCCAAAATAACTTGAGAACTACTCTGCATATTTGCACTAAATGTGATAAGGGTGATCATTATATGATAAGGTGCACATGATAAACTTTTGGTGGATATTGCAAAAAATTTACCAGGTTTTGCCATGGTAATAGAATATTTCAGGGATTAAAGAAAACAATATCATGATACAGTCTCCAGCAGTGATTACAGTCACTTGCAGTCATAACATCACTTGTTCAATTTTTACCTGCCATGGTAATGGTTTGTGGGTAGGCTTTGCATCTGTTTGGCTAATGTTTGATCAGTGATACAAAATAATTTTTGCACACAAAAACTATTAGAGATTTTTATAAAGCAAAAATGTTATTCATAGCCTGTGTCCACCCTAGGGATTTCAGCATATGTAATTTATCATATCCTGGTGAACCCATGTTATTCAGCCTACCATCTTTGGAGGGTTAGAGCCCATTATAACTCCTAACAGTAGTGGCTTAGGATTAACCAAGCTTAAATGGGGTCAATTATATAGCAGCAAACTTTTTGGGTCATGAGCAGTGGGTATTTCCCTAATTATATTTAACCAAATGTGTTATTCTTCAGATGTCACTCGATACAAGGAGCTTCTATCAGATGTACGATGGGACCAGTTGATTGAACAGTTTCGAGCTGAAAACTTGAAATTATATCAGTTGTCATCACAGTCAGCATTCTCTGTTGTTGTCCAGTCAGGGCTGTCTGCACTCAAGACTCCTCATTGCTATAGGGTAAGAAAGGAAAACTATTTTTATGATTTATCACTTATCGGTTTACTAGATGTTTGTGCAGTTGGTCTGTTATTTGTTATGACCTTCATTATCCAGTGTTAGTACAGGAGGAAATCGAATACTGCAGTAGCACCCAGAGAACCCCTTTCATATTTGGTAGGGCCATGCTCGAGAATACCCTTTTCACATCTGACCCATGCTGGGGGTTAAACCCAGGACACAATCGTGAGTGGCATGTACCATCAGCACCCTATCCTTGAAGCAGATTTCTCACAATTACTCAAATTTACTGTCAGATATTCTGGGTAATTTTATTTATTTATTTATTATTATTTTTTTAATATACTCATTAGTAGATTATTTTCCACTAAATGATGGATTGTACTGGACACATATCCAGACAGACAGGATAGAAACATTACACTTCTTTGTTGTCAAACTATTAATTATTCCTTATTCACCACTGTTCCTGTAATTCCATGGACATTAGGTACTATGTACACTCACCACAGAAAGTATCTGCAGGGTGGGGTCCAATAGATGTCAAAGCGATACATCCTGCGACTCCTGTTGTCTCAGTAGGGTTGTCAAAATCCTTCATCCGGTGCCTTATATTGTTTGCAAAAAATTTTGCACATACTTTTTGTAGCTAGTGTACTTGGTAGTAAATACTTCACATTTGTTAACATTTACAGGCCATTGTACTGTATTATATGTCACACCATAAAAATTTCTGCCTCATCATAGAAATAATAACATTTTTAATGCCTGAAACTTTAGTACCTTTATTATAGAACTGTGTTATTAAGTATTTAAAAAAAAATTACTCTTCAGACACATTCAGTAATTGTTGACAATTGAAAAATGTCATTACACCTGGTAAAATATGTTAGTCTGTCGGTTAGGAGCCTCTTGAGTCGGATCTTGACATATCCTCTCCATGTAGCTTGATTTTGACAGATGCTTTCAGCTGCTATAAAATATATCCCTGTTCTTGACAAGATCCTCTTAATCCCATCAATCCATCTTGTGCTGGGTCTTCTACCACTTGGTTGCCTCACATGTATATGCTTCAGGTCATCTTGTTGGTGACATTCTCTGAGGTATTTCTTATACTAATTATTACTTGTTTCATTATTATTTCAGGGAGCTACTGGTCACAACCCAGACTGTCCTGTGTGCCAGCCCTCTCTTAACTCACTAGCTTCACCTCTCCCGTATGCCCACTGCTCACAGTCTCGTCTTGTTTGTCACATTAGTGGAGAACAGCTCAATGAAAACAACCAACCACTGATGCTGCCCAATGGATATGTCTATGGACAGAAGGTTAGTTTCAGGAGGTTACAGACTAACAAGAGTAATATGTGTGTGTGTGTGTGCGTGCGTGCCATAAACAACTGTTTATTGAAAAAGGTTGCAGCCCGAAGGTTGAAAATATACATTGGACATAAATGACTTATTACATACATTGGTGGTTTAACAAAAGCCTTCATTAGAGAAAGGTGAAGGAACATATACCGTGAACATACAGATTAATATTTACACATGTAGATCATGTGAGCTGAGGTGTTGAACAGCAGACACGTAGTGTAATAACTCCCCCACAGATGGCGTTATGAGGGGCATCACGTGGAGTACTAGTTCCCTCACAGGTGGTGTTATGAGGGGCTTGACGTGGTGTAGTAATTCCCTCACAGATGGTGTTACGAAGGGCCTGATGATGTAGTAGTTCCCTCACAGATGGTGTATGAGGGGCCTGATGATGTAGTAATTCCTCCCACAGATGGTGTTATGAGGGGCCTGATGTGGTGTAGTAATCCCCTCACAGATGGTGTATGAGGGGCATCACATGGCATAGTAATTCCCTTACGGATGGTGTTATGAGGGGCATCACGTGGTGTAGTAATTCCCTCACAGATGGTGTTATGAGAAACTTCACATGATGCTGTAGCAAGTCATTCACTACGTGGTGTTGTGCATAATGGGGACACCACGTGGTCTGTTGTCACAGGACTTCACTCACTCAAGTGGGTGAGGTGTGGTCCCAGGCCTCTCTATCATGGAGTCTCAGGGGAATTATCACTGGGTACCTGGGACCTCACTGTGTGAAGGTTAGCTTGGCTCAGACTCAATTGCCGAGTTGTTTTTCACTGACTTAAGCACTGTTCACCACTATTCAACACTAGTTCCATTCCTTTCCCAAATGAAATAGTAATTTCTGGCAAGAACTTGTTGATATTCCGGTGGGGAGGAGGGTTCAGGGGAGGGAGCTGGTATGGGCCAACATAACAGTTGACGTGGCTGCTGCTGAGCAGCGCCAGGTGCGTCTGACCCGTCTTGACCCGTCGGTGGTCAAGGGTGAAGTGTGTGTGTGCGTGCGTGCAAAAGGGAAAAATAATAATTTGAAATTTTTTTTTTTTTGCAATTAAGCAATGATTTACTAAGTAAAATAAATGAATATGAAGATTGTATGGATTTATAGAGAAATTTGTGTGGAAAAAAGATTACAGTTCTGTACTGTACATGAATATTTGTGAAAGAAATAATAGATAGTGTACAGTAAAGCCTCGAATAACGACATTAATGTGTCCTCCAATATTGCAGTGTAAGGTGAATTGTTGTATCGCGAATCATTAATTACCATTAAAATAAAGCAATAATAATGAGATGCGTTCCCAAGTGTGACTTTTTCATATCTTTTGTGTGGCCTTTTACCATCTTTTCCCCCAAAACACTACAATTAATGAAAATTGCAAACTATATTCTTTAAATACTGTTTCTGAATGCACCTTATACAATATAATGAATAATGATATGGTCACACAAGAGGAGATGGGACGCCATTGTTTTCGTTTGTGTTTACAGCTGGGAGTCCGGGACGATAGTTCTACACGAGAAATTGAAGAAATAAGACCCTGGTTGTGGCTGTAGTAAAATGAATGTAAAAATATGAATACTATATATGTTTTAAGTAACGTTATTTAATTTTAATAAATGGAACAATAGAAAAAAAAGAGAGGGATTGGGAATGCCAATATATACGTGCGTATTTAAGGATACCACGTCATTTATTTTTTTAAGAATATGTACAAAAGATTCATTATTATTTATTACTGAATATGTATTTGATTGAATTAATCTTTATATATGCGAAATGAACACTACAATTCATTAATAATATGTAGAATATTAAAACACACGAGGATAAGAGACGGCATTGCTGTCAGTGTTTACACCTATAATGTCAGTTATCCACCTGAAACTGAAGAAAATAAGACCCTGGTTGTTGTTGTAGTAAAATTAATGTAAAAAGTATGTATATTTTAATTAATGTTATTTAATATACGTACAGTAGAAGTAACCACTGATATTAAAGAAAAAGTGAGACTGATAGTGGAACGAACGCCAATGTATACGTGCGCACTCAAGCAAACAGTCATTTATCTTAAGAATATGTACAAAAGATTCATTATTGTTATTACTGAATACATGTATTTGATTGAATTAATCTTTATGTATGTGAAATGAACAATGCAATTCATTAATAATAGGTAGAATATTAAAACACACACGAGGAGACAAGACGGCATTGTTTTCGTGATGGTTCTACATAAGAAACTGAAAAAAATAAGACCCTGGTTGTAGCTGTAGTGAACTTAATTTAAAAAAATTAAGTAATGTTATTTAATGTTAATAAATGGAACACTAGAAGTAGCTAACCACTAATGGTAAAGAAATAAAGCAAGACGATTGGGAACGCCAACGTTTGAACAGTAAGTGCGTATATGTGAAAACATATCGTCATTTCTCTACATATGAATATGAAAGCAACACTTAAGTACTGTTCATGTATGTTTTAAATATTTACGAATGTAATTCAAAAATTCTACTCGCCAATGGTGGTAAAATCTAAAAAAAATTTTTTTTTTTTTTTTTTTTCGGGCACAGGTCACTGACCCACATCAGGGCCTGGGGGGCGAAAATATAATGATTATAAATAATAATAATAATAATAATAATGTCTATCATTATTATTATTACAACAATTAATAAAATTAATAGCAAATTAATAAAAATAAAAATAAAATAAAAATAATAATAATAATAATAATAATAATAATAATAATAATAATAATAATAATAACCATAAATAAATACAAAAACGAAAAAATAAATCATGTGAGAAACGATATACAGTACATTATGTATGTTGTGTTGTCCAAGTAAGAGAAACAGTTGAGACCCTGCAATTGTGTGTAAATGAGACAGAAAGTCAGATGAGCAACCTGAAACTTGGTCACAATTTTCATGATGCCATATGGCAGCAGGGTCTACCATTAGACAGCACATTATGCTTCCAATATCTTCCCAGGCGGTAGTATTTCCATGTTTGGTAGCTGCTTACTACCTGCTACTTAAAGACAGCCAATGAATATTGTGCGAGTTTTTACTCAGATGACGAAGTCATCAGGTTTAACTCTGGCTGAAGCTGGTAGGTTCAACTCTGGCTGAAGCTGTAGGTTCAACTCTGGCTAAAGCTGTAGCTTTCCATAAAGCTTTTGCTGAAACTGTTACTGAACCTGAAGTTGAAGCTGCTGATGATGCTGAATTTGATGGTTTAGGCCTTCGAATAATTAAGCTGTTGAAAGAACCTTGCACAGCTGTTTTCTTTTCTCATTATACATCTTTATGTAGAGGTCATTTGCATTTATTTAAATTTTAATGCTTTGGTCTGTTAATGGATCCACTTCAGAAAATATGTTCATTGCTTGCTCCATAAAATATCCACAGACCTCTCACGTTTTTCATATCGTTTTAACACATCTAGTTTCTCAGCTAAGCTTATACACTTTTTATTAGCTTTTGAAACAACACTACCATTACTTGCTCATGTTGAATAGGGATGCAAAAATGCTGTAAGAAACCTGAGAAAGTTTTTCTCCCATTCCTGTTCCAGATGCATGAAAACAAAAGGTCCGCTAAGCTCAGACTGTTGCTTACCACTCATTAGCCAGGCAGCTTCTTTGTGCAAGGCGCTCTTCATTGTTTACAGTAATTTTATTTTTAATAATACATATCAGGATTTAGTTATTATTTATATGAAAATTTAATTTTATTATATTTTTATTATATTTTGGTTGTAAATACGAATGAAATAAGCTCGTAAGTTGAATTGGGTCCTAAATTAACTAGGGTTTTAAATATGAAAAGTTGTTGGTCAAACCGTTGTTATCGGAGGCTTTACTGTACAAAGAAAGATTCAGTGAGAGTAAAACCCAAGTAAATATCAATAAATATCACGAGTAAAACCATTTAAGAATAATGAAGGAACAAGTAAGGACAATGACTTCAGAAAATGTAAAGACAGACTAAGTAAGTTTAATAACAGACCACATAGGATTCAAAAGACACAGAGTGATTTTAAAGGCAGACTAAATAAGTTTAAAAAGACAGAAGAGTTAAATTCAGTAAACAATCCATAGATATGTGATTAAAATGATTGATTTTTCAAATAAAGCTCCAATTGCTTTTGGCATCCATAACAATCATTACAATTTATAGATGTTTATTGTTTGATGGTTGTTAAAGAAAACAAAAGCGAGTGAACCAAAGTTACAATTCATATGAGTTGGTTGCTGTTAAATGACTTTACCACCTCACTAGTAATTTTTTTTTTGTTCAGTGTATAATCAACCAACATTCAATTAACCTCTATAAGTTGAAATGGATGCTAAGAATGCAAAAAGTAGATGGGTCTTAATCAATAGGTCAATGCCCCAGGAATATGTTATAGTCCTCCCTGAACCATCCTACTTCATGAAACCTAACATTGTAACCTGTACTGTAATTCCATATTTGGTAAGGAGTAAGAAATTAAAAATGGGTGCTGTAATTAGGAAATTCATCATTTTATTAATTCAGAAATGGCAGTACTGTACAGGTAAAATTTTGAGCATGGAGATTTCAATTTGTTTTATGACATGAGTGAAGTTTATCTTCCAGAACCGTGGATATTTGTATTTTTATCGTAGTTAAAATAATAAAACAGTTGAGTTAACATACAAATATTTACTAATGTTTTTAAATTTTGGTTTACATTTACCAAATTTTTTCTAATGTGAAGTAGTGTCTCCAATGCTAACAGTACAACAGCCATCAGTGAGAAAAGTGGATTGACGTCAGAATCACCATTTCAGTGGTAGCTACAGTATAACATTCATCCGTATATTTATTATTTATTTGGTATATTCAGTAAAATACCAATTAAGTTTACTAAATTTAATTTATCTTCCTTAGGCTCTTCAGCAAATGGCCAGTGAGAATAACGGCACCATTGTTTGTCCGCGCTCTCGTCAGACATTCAACATTAGAGATGCAGAAAAAGTGTTTGTCATGTGAGAAGATGTGTGTGATGCTCACATGATATTAGCAGTTAAAATGACAGTTCTTGTGAACAGAATTTATTGCTCATAAATGTGGCCATAATAATAAGGAAACTCTTTAACAAGATAAAATAAATTACTGATATTGGTTTGTACTGTACTGTCATGTACTGTATTCAGGTATCTTAAATTGTTGCTATTTTGTGCGCTGATTTAAACTGCAATTTAGATGAGTGTGTGTTAATGCAGAAACATGGTTAAACATTTGTATACACTCATACAGTACTGTATGTGCTTGTACACACACAAGTAAACATACACATTTACAGTATATACATACACAGAAATATGCTGTATATGCACATATACAGGTACAGTACAGGTACTCTTGTTTTGGTATTGACAAAGGAGAAATTTAGCTATAATTACAATCTTTTGTTTCACGTGAGATTTTGATAATGTGACAAAAGAATATTAAAGTGTTTTGATAAAGGCAACTAAAGAAAAATGGTATATTCATGATGAAAGACTATTCACTGATGAAGTTAAAGCTATACTGTACTTCTGTGACTCCATGCTTTTCCTTGACATCTTTAGTCTTAATATGTTGACCAACAATGTATGATAAAGTTTGCTATATTAAGGACATATGGCTCATCATTTTGTAATCTAAAGTCATTTCAGATGTGTGCATGTCTGTTCCCTCGCCATAAATAAAATACAATGAGAATCATTTTGAAGGGACACTTGGGTCTCTTCTTTGTCCATATTTTCAGTGAAGTTAACAAGAGAACAACTTTTGAGATGAGGTTTTTATATTGTCAGTAAGTTTTGCATCAAGGATGTACTATGGACTGTAATGTACCTCTAGAGCAGTGGTTCTCAACCTTGTTTGCCCCATGCACCCCTTTCACCATATGTCAGAATGTCATTCCCCCCTCCTTTCCAAGATTGTCTGCCTCAAAAAGTGCATTCCAAATAATATGCATATAATACTGAAAATCCCTTATTTTTTTCCATATTAGTATCAGTTTGAAAACCTGAGGGGGGAAATTCCCCCCTGGTTGAGAACCCCTGGTGTAGAGTGTAGCTCATAGTCCTGTTGTAAGTTGTTAAGCAGCACGACTAAGCAGGTCAGGTCTATTTTTTTTTAAGTTTTATATGAATAAGCATATCAATAATGTCAGTTGTGAATACTGTATTTGTAAATTGTGAGTTGATTACTATTGAAAAAAAAGACATGCATGATTCCTTTATTTTATTGCATATTAAACTGTCATAATGAAAATAAATAAAAATTTTATTTAACATTAAGAGGTGTTGTCATGCAAAAAATTAGAGTAATATAAATCCATTTCTTTACTTTAGCATGTGTAGAATATTTTCTTGTAGATTTGTTTTCTGCTTTAATATAAATAAGTTAATGTAGCACATTGGTTTGCTGTAAAAATTTAAAATGTCATACTAATACTTTTTTAGCCTTTGAAGCTTAGTAAAAAAAATTGTGGTAAAATATAAATGTGTTTATTTTAAGAGATTCAGCTCCTGATTTTGTAGCAAATTCTCATTCCCCTCACAAGAGTGTGTATGCTGCTTCAAGGCAGCCTTTGTTTATTATGAGAACAAATGAATTTTACAGAAAATACAAGAATAAAGACAAAACAGGAATACTGTATTATTATGGCGGAGTAATAAATTCAGTAGAAAGTACAGTGCAGGTGTTTATTATTTTGAGATGAAGTGGACAATGCAATGATGTACCATTGCCAAAAAAACTGTTGTGTACTGCAATGAAAGGAGAGATTGTTCAATTTGTACAGTAATTTAAAACTTAAGGTAATACTAAAAAAAATACTCACCTTCATGATTACTTATGTTACCAAGCCAAAATATTGGCTGCTCACACTTCTGGCATGTTTAATAACTATTTTTCAAGAACTTTATATGCATTATTCTGTTGTTTTATTTTTCTGTTTCCTCACCAGAATCTTATATTGTATTTTATACTAAAGAATACTTACCGTATACTGCAGTTGTAAGCTATCTTCTTTATTAATACTTTAATTGAATACACCAACAAAACATTAAGAACTCCTCAGGTATAATTTTGTAGTACAGTACAGTACAGTACCAGAAACTTTTTGACTGTAGAAAAGGTCGAGACCCACTTGTGTTATTGCTGTTAATATGAGCAGTGATGTGTATGGAGGAGGTATTACTGTATCAACCACTTACTGTTTCATGGGAGGAAGTGTACAGTATTGGATTTAGGAAAATGAAAAGTTCCTAACTGGGGTAATACAGGTACCATTATAATCTTGGGGAAAGTCATACAGGCTGTCTATAAAATATCTGACCCATTTTAAAACATAATTGCAAAATAAATATATTCTAGATAAAACACGGTATACTTACATGTAAATGTCTTTTAAGATTAGAATTTTTTTTTTAGTTGTTTGTTGAGTACAGTATAATAAAACTGGCATGTACTACTGTATCTATAATGTTGAGGTTATTAAGTTTTCAAATAAGTTTGCAAATTTATGGACACCCTGTATTAAAAACTAGGTACAGTATTAATTTGGCAATGTCTTGTTACATATTCTTACTCTATAGTTAACATACATTTTTTATTACATATTTCAAGCAGTCTTAGGACAGATCAATACTTTCTTTTGTAATACAGTTCAGGTACTCAATATGTCTTTTTTTTATTTGTTATTGACTGTCTTTAACTACAGAACAGTAGTAGAGTTTGACAAAGCATGTGTAATATGTTAAACACATGAGATTGGTAAAATAGCCCTTCTAAAAAGGTGGAAACAGTGTATCATATGTTCATGAATGGATTATACTCCCAAATAACACCTGCATTTAGTAAAAATAGTAATTTCTTGTAAATGATGTATGTGTGTCATTCATTCTGCACAGAGTAGATGAATAATAACTCGAGTGTACAGTGGTCCCTCGGTTAACGAGATTTCGGTTAACGAGTTGCCTTCCATAAGATTCTTTACTTTGGTTAACGAGCAATCCCTCGATTAACGAGTTTCTTACGAGCCAACCTGAACATGATTTCGCTTGCATTTGGCGGTCCACCAGCTGTAATATTAGTCCGCCAATACAGTAATCGGTTCTAGGGCTTAAATTCCTTACCATTTTAGCAAATATCAAGAAGTTTATACTATTCAATAATTTTAAAAGTTTAATATAAAATTTTTTACTCATTTTAACAATTATTGAACATAATTGAAGGTAATGAAACTAGTTTTATGCATGCCATCCAGCCTCTCAACACACCATACAGGCATCAGTCTTTGTATCTTTTCAGTGGAGGTAACATCTTGCTTGAGACGCTCTTCAACTAAATGCTTTTTTTCTATTTTTGCAAGCAAATTATTGGTCATTTTGAAATTTATTTTACATATTGACAATATATAATGCAGTGCAGTGTTGATTTAAAGAAAATAATCTTGAATTGCACCAAGAGAACTAAAATTTTATGGGTGAAATGGTGCCATGGGGTGACTTCTCTTCCACCCCAATGCCTTCTCTTCTCCCTTCTCTACCCCCATTCTAATTCCCATCATCATCATCCAGGAGCCTTCTCCATACACACCTCAAAGTAAGTGTACTTTTCTACCTTTTTTGTTGAATTTAGGCAATTTTCGGTGAGCTGGAACCAATTACCCAAAAACCCATTGAAACAATGGTTTCGGTTAACGAGTTTTTCGGTTAACGAGCAACCTTCTAGAACGGATTGTGCTCGTTAACCGAGGGACCACTGTATATACAAGTAGGTATCTGAAGCTTGGCAAAAAGAGAGAGAAATCATAAAATGAGGGACCAGTTCCCTTTTATTGATATCTTCTCAGAGGCAGATGGGGGGAACAAAAGTATTGTATTAAATGTGTAAGACCGAGTTGATCAGTTTGCACAAAAACATTTGAATGTATAGAACCAGCCATGATATACTTGTGATCATTCATTCTGCGTAGTCTGTAAAGGATCCAAAGATGTTCTAGTTAATTAGGCCAAGGGAAAAAGAGTCTGCAATGTATTAATTCTATTGTTTTATCCTGTATAATGAAAATAGATTGCTCTTAGTTAGTACATATTTTCTTGTGAAAAATGCTAGATTGATGAAGCACCCGAATATCATACAGGTAATTGCTGTCATATTATTGAGAATATATATATATATATATATATATATATATATATATATATATATATATATATATATATATATATATATATATATATATATATATATATATATATATATATATATATATATATATATATCACTGTAGGTGTGCATGATCCAAGTATATGCTGATAACCACAAGAAAACACGAAGTTCCCAAGCGCTTTCGTGTAATTCACATCTTCAGGGGTGAGTACAGACGAAGGAGAAATGCTTGACAAGGCTAATATATACAGTAGAGGAGAGAAGGTTGGGTCATCTTGCCCTATGACCTGACTACGGACAGCTGCTGTGCTTCGAGATGGCATGGTAATTTATTTATTTTTTTAAAGAATATGAGTAAGGGTCACTGCCTTGTGACTGGAAGATTGTGGACACCTGCTGTCCCCTAGGGACCTGATCTCACTCTCCTCTACTGTATATATTATCCTTGTCAAGCATTTCTCCTTAGTCTGCACTCACCCCTAGGGGACAGCAGGTGTCCACAATGTTCCGGTCATAAGGCAGTGACCCTTACTAATCTTCTTAATAAAAAAAAATTGACCATGCCACCTCTAAGCACAGCAGCTGTCCGTAGTCAGGTCATAGGGAAAGATGACCCAACCTTCTCACTTGGTTACAAATCTTCTTAATCACAAAATTATCCAGTTTGTACATACCATTACTCAAATTCATGTTGACAGATTCAGTATGTTTAATGAGACTGGATTCTATAATGTTCCTACTGACAATTGAATTAAAGGTAATATTGAGGAGGCAATGCTTATTATATCTCATATGAACTGAGCTAATCATGGATTTTGCCGAGTTATTTGGCTTGTGAGTCTTGATTAGACCGTGCATGTATGGCAGTGGAGGGGACGTTGAAGAAAAATGTTTAATGAGATAATCTTTACCTCAATAGAAACTTAATTTTTTTTTGTTAAACTGAGTGATAACTGTGTTGAGAGGATTATTTATGAGCTTAGAATATGTTGCAACATCACATAAAAGGTCATTCATTTTACAAAAATAATCATCTTTGTTTAAAATCGCTACTGTGTTGGCTTTATCTGCTTTACTAACATGTAGATCCTTATTTTTCTTAAGGGCTTGGATTGCTTTGGTGAATCTTTCTGGACAATTTGGAACACAAGGCTTAGACATAGATGCATACACAACACCTTTACACATGTTCACTTCTTCATTTGTCAAATTACTGAATTTCTCCAAATTGCAGAATGCTGTGGCTATATCAACACTATCGACTCTCTTGTTAGAGCCATCTAGACTTAAACCATAACTGAGGGCACACAAGGTATCATTGTCTAGTTGTTTAGAGGAGAGATACACAGTTGTGATTGGCATCCTTAGTCCAATCACTATTTCTAATAAGGAGTGCCAATTTGTGGTCTAGCTTAGCTTGAAGATCAGAACGCTCACATCTCAGGTAATCGAAACAGTAATCCAACATGAACTTTTCCAATCACTTGGTATGGTCATGTTAAAAGCATGCTTTTTCTGTCTTACAATACGGAAAGCTTCATCCACTTCAATTTTCTTTATTTAAGTGTTTCTTTAGGATGATATCTTGGAAATCATCAAAGGGGCGATCAGACATCTGCAGGACACGTTGTGGGAGGATTGATCTTGGCATGACTTTTTCACTAAGGCATATCTGGAGAAATTTCAAATGTATCTTCAATTTGTGGGCCTTGATCATCGAAGAGGAGTATTCACTAACGAAAGGAGACAGTCCAGGACAGCTTGTAGAGAAGTAGAAGAAGTGGCACATAGAATCCATTATGTGATCCAAGTACAGTGATCCCTCGGTTAACGAATTACCTTCCATAAAATTCTTCACTTCGATTAACGAAAAAATTTTGGTTAACGAATTCCTTACGAATTTTTCCCAACATGTTTTCGCCTGCTCACCAGCTGTAGTATTAGTCCGCCAATACAGTCATCAGTTTTAGGGCTTAAATTCGTTACCATTTGAGTAAATATCAAGAAGGTTGTACTATTCAATAATTTTTCAAGTATATATATATATATATATATATATATATATATATATATATATATATATATATATATATATATATATATATATATATATATATATATATATATATATATATATATATATATATATATATTACTGTATATATATATATATATATTACTGTATATATATATGCTTGCCATTGAAACTGCAACAACACTGGAGTTTATTCAAAGGTAATTCCAGACTATACATCTAGAATCGTAGAGTGAGGGTGTGAAAATAATATTACAAGTGTAGTACCTGTATATAAAACACAAATGCGTGTTACAGCTTTATTTTGCCAGATCAATAGAGCGGATTAATTGGTGTTCATACACAATATATAATAGACTATGATATTTTCCTACTAAAGTAGCATACTATTGCAGGTGTATTGTTGGAATCAACCTGGATAGAGGGAGCTGATGTTGAATGGACTAACAACACTATAATTTAAGTACTTTGTTGAAGAGCTTGAATTGTTCACAAACAATAAGTGCTACTCCAGTTTCTTTTTCGTTCTCTTATCAGACTCTTCCAGTATTTTGAAACATTACTAATATAATTTGTAGTTGATTTTTAAGCTATAAAATTAGTTTTGTATGCTATGATATATTCAGTTATATTTGATTTTATGTCATTAATATTATTATAAAACTTTTGGGGCTACTGTTATGTTATTTTTATATTTATTATATCAATATCAGAAGGATAATTGGAGGGTGCTTCATTATTTCAAGATTTAATCGAGCCATTACATTTTCAGTTACAATGTATACTTACAATGTATAAGTTCCAAGTACATTTATTTTCTCTGCAATGTATCCATAAAAATATAACTTCCTCTATTATTGTTAAGGGCATTCTACTCAATAAAGTCTTTTCAAAACCTCTATTTTCTGCTCCTATATATTTTTGTATACTCTAACACATATTCCAAGATATTTGTTTGTGGATTTGTGGATCTTAATATTCAACAAATATGTTCTGTAAAAATATATAACTAATCTCTGTAAATTTTACAAACAATCTGTTAAATCAACAGATATTTTCTGTCAAAATATATATAGAATCTGTTAATTTTCTTTATTTTTTTTTAACTGTGGCTTTTATACAAATCTAACCTAACCCAACCTAACCCCCCCTCAACCACCAACCGCCATCACCACCCCCACCCCCAATCCAACCACTCGCCCACCTCCAACCAACATCACTCCCCCGTTACCCCTTAACCTAACCACACCCCCTCAACCACCCCATCCACCTCCACTTCCCACCACCCTCCTAACCTGAAAGAAATCTGAAAAAATCTGAAAAAAAAAAATCTTAACAAATCTGAAAAAATTGGAAAAAAATATAAAAAATCTGAAAAAAAAAATCTGGTAGAAAACCTGAAAAAAAATATAAAAAATCTGAAAAAAAATCGTAAGAAATCTGAAAAAATCGGAAAAAATTGGTGTTGGGGTGTGGGTGGTGGTTGGAGGGTGGGAGGGGGAGGGGGTTAGTGGTGATGGTGGGAGGGGTTGGTTGGAGGAGTATTACCAGTATTTCCGAGGGGTTAAAAAAAATAGAAAACAAGGTTTCTACTGATCTTTAACTGAATGTGAATATTCAAACAATGAAAACATCAAAAATGGTAGTTACTGTACAGTAGTTTCCTAAAAGTTATAACCATCTAATCTTCTGCAATAAGTGACAGCACTGCAAATTGCTGAATTATGCAAAAGTACAGTAATGCCTATCCCAGTGTGGATTAGCCATGTACCTGATGAACTCTCCAAGTGCTGCAGCAGCACGGTCTCTCAGCTTTTCACCCTGCTGCAATCAGGTATATTAGAAACAAGTTATACAGATGGTTACTCTTCCTCAAAATAAAGACCAGTCAGTGGTGTACACACATACTATTTTTTAATGAGTAGAATGGGGAGGGGGGTTAAGATCTCCATTATGGTTCAAAGTGGATGTAAACAAAGTCGCAAGTGCTTTTATCTGACATTTTACAGAGGAAGTATATGCCAAGCACATATCTGTATTGCCATGAGTATGTGATTTTCCCTTTTCTTTTCTAAATTATTCATATGTAAACCATTAAATTGTTCATCTACAAAAATGAAATGCCATAATTATAGAAATGAGGCTGAGTACCTTGACCACAACACTGAGGATAAATGAAATAACTTCTTTCAAAATTGCAGTAAAATATTATCCTCTTCCTGAACACATGTATGACACATTTTTTTTTTAATTCAAGATGTATGTCACATAATACCTTAACATAATAGTTTCACAAACACACAACTAAATCTAAAATAAAACATATATTTACAAATGTTTTGAATTTGGCACTACAATGTTAAAACAACAAATACAGGCTTTGGTGTAGATTAATACAAGCACATACACAACACACAACTATACAATTACTCAAAACATGCATGAGATCGTTAGAAAATCCCTGGGATCAATTATATAAATTAATATAAAAAACAAATGTATGTGGCTCAAGAGCAACAATTGTACCTGCAATCTCACAAATTTACATACAATTCATCTCATTATGATACATCTTTTAGTTAACAGTCAGGTACAGTGAAGGTATATGCAATTATGAATTTAAAAATAAAAATCCAGATGAGATGGCAACTTGAATGAACCTGAAATCTTCTTCATAAGATTTCTCTTTGTACAATTTGCTTCACAGGACTTCCCTTATGTACAAACTCTTAAATTGATTAAATCTATTTCTTCACTGCCCCTTATTCTATTTTCCATCTTTCTATTTTCTACTTATTGCCTTTGTCTTGATAATATTTGGACAAAACTGCTGTCAATCATATTTAAAGTTTAATTATTCTTTTGTGAGGCAAAGATACTGAAAATGTAATTTAATAGCTAGATTCATTGACAGCTTTGAAATACTGTAGATTCCACTACTGCTAAACTATAAAAGGCACTCGAGGTTAAAATAATAACTTAAATGCCTTGTAAATTGTAATAAAGACTAGCTAAAATCTTAAGTAAATGTGTAGAATCTGTTATTGAATGAAATTGTTGGCATAAATAATAAAATAGATAAAAGCTGATGACCAACTCAAAGTTCTTTATCTCGAATACTGTATGTCTATTGAGACAAGGTGAGGATTCATAGACTCAATTCATCTTATTCAATCGTGATTTCCATAAGTTCCTCCAAATATCTGAGGGACACCCAAATACACCAAAAAAAAATAGGGTATTAAAATGGAGGGAACATTAATATAATCACACACACAAAAGGATGTATTGAAAATTATATACTGTACTGTAATCCTCTTGCAGAATAGCATTCTTTATCTCACAGAGACATGTTATAGAAGTCAACATGAATTGTATCATACAAACTTCAAAGATATAAAACCTCTTATCTTGTAGATTTGTCCTGAAGAAAACTGAATCTCCAAACTTGGTTCTTCAGCTAGCATGGAGTACTGAACGTAAGTCTTCTGGCAAGGCCATGAAGAGTGTCTGTAAATGATCATGAAGTTTGTCGCGAGTGTGTTGGTCCACACACAGAGAGTCAGCTGTGGTTAACTTAGCACGTAGTCTTAGCACCATATCCACCACTTCTACCTCACTCCGACTACACACCCATCCACCTAAGTCCTGCAATTGTTTTGAAAAGAACATATAATGTTAGTATTTTGTATTTTTATAAATTAAGTAAAAAATTACTGAGATACGTAAAATCATTGAAAAATGTAAATAAGCTTCAATTTAAGCTTAAAGATTCTTTGTTTTTGATAACAGCTTTCTGATCCCCCCTATCAGGTACTCAGTGTGGGAAATTATAAGCATTTCAACATAACTTGTACAAATTCTCAAACAGATGCAATATCTAACAAAAAGTCTATGAGATATGTTCACCTAAACTATATTTCATTACTGTGCATACAATTATACAATAATTATTAATTTTCCACATTATGTACAAAAAAGAAACTTGAGTAGAAGTCTACAATAGCAAGGTAATGATTATTGAAATACCTGAGCATAAGGTAAAATATGCAGATGGCATTAAAGATAAAACCATATTTGAGTGTTGAATTCAACCTACCCTGAGTAAAAGATAAAAGAATAAGGATAAAACATAGGAAATGTGGATGGGTATGAATGAATGAGTGCGGGTGAGCTAAGTGAAAAATAAAAGAAGTAAAGGGCCATGAGTGTAAAGAAAGAGGAACATAATATTTTTCTTAATGTCATCTAAGATCAATATACTGTAAACTTCATGTGATCAATTATATTCTGAATGGTGTTCAGTTCTCAACTCAACTCAATTCCTTAACTGTACTTTCACTAAAAACTATTTTCATCCAAAGTGTCCCACAAGATATATCAATCCATATATCCATTACAAAAAAATGTGGCTAAACTAATTAAATATTATATTAGTGGATTAGTTCTAATGCTGACACCTACTGCAACTAGAGTTACTCAATTACTTCCCTGTATGATATATAAACCATTTTGCAAGTTAGAATACATTACAAATTATCCACAGTAATATCCTAGAATCTCAGTATTAAGTGTAGTTAAACTTAGATGTGAGCACAGATAAACATTTTAATTACAGTATTTACTGTAATAACACATACAAAATCACAATTCTTATCCAAAGAATTTAGATTGTTACATTATTAAAGGTACTCTTCAAGCCTACTGTATACGTATATCCCTGCATTCAAGGCAGTGTGTTTCATGCAGATTCTGTGTCAATCAATCCAACTACTGTATACAGGTATTATATAACACACACACACACACACACATGAAATGCCACTTACTGCATTGCACAAAGCCTGAAGATGTAACTCTGAAAGCTTAGCTGACACCTCCTGATGACGTGCATTGAACCATACAGAGAAGTTGACGGAACGGAAAAATCGACGGTATAAACCTTCCCAGTCCCCACGAATGCCACTGGTCAACTGTGGTCCATACAACTCTAGGGTGGCGAGGAAGTCATCTGGGTTGAATGGACGTAAACTTGGTATTGCCTGTATCAATAAGAAGGTGGGAATTAATAACAAGGCAAAATAAAATATTTACATTTTAAATCCTGTCAGTATAGCATACAAAGGGCATAGAGATAAAACCAACACACGACATCAGGTAATCACCTCTAACCCACGAATGCATCTCCCCTCTCTTATGGGAAATTAAGTTTTATATATCACAGTTTTGCATACTGCAAGGGTTTTGGGGAGTGAAACCTTTGCCATAATCAAAGACGACCTTCACTAAGAACAGCTCCAAGTTTCTTTACTATGTTTCTTATCTATTCAATGGCAACTCAAATAAAGTGGGTAAAAAGTTGGCAAGGCAGTTTCTGAACCTGAGTATGCAAATGTGTAAAGAAGACATTTATATAGTGTCTATTAACCTAAAATAAATACTATGTCAACAATGAAACCCTGATCTTAAACAAGTACAGAAATTTAGGTGTTGTGGGATGGTCGTAGAAAATATTTTTCACATTACGTATTTTCAAGTCCCTAAAGATGATCCAATACCTTCAACAAACAAGTACCAGTATGTTAGCCTGTCTGAAGAAAGCGCACTTAATGACCCACACAGCCCTGTCTCCTCCTCTGCTTCATCCAATTAATGTAGTCTCCATGCTTATATTAAAAAATTATTGAGGCCCCGTGTGTATTCAGTGAATACATTAAAGGAATGTGCACAGTAACACTTTATTTATTATTCATTATTGATTACTTTTACTGTAATGTATTTCATTTTAGAATTTCTATGTACCGGGTACTATTTTCACCTTTTCGACGTACGACCAAATCGAAAAAGTGTTAGAGGAGGAGTGTACATACTTTAGACATATTTAATCAGCTACAGACAAGAAGAAACTGAAATCGGTAAGACTCCACAATGACAATTTCAATCTGTGCCATTTACCTTTATGAGTCAATCTATATTTAAAGAAAGTAAATTATTGATTTAAGGCAAACTCTCGGAAATAAAAATGGTAGAAACAAACCTTATATGGAGATATATTCTTTTGCAGGGGCATAAGAGATGCAACATATCGCTCTAAAGGAATCATGAATGACTGTGTTAATTCCAACAAGTGACGCCTCAGAAGAGCGCTCTGCACCTCCACCGGTCGTCCAGTTTGTACGCCCTTCAGCAGCCGCTTCACTAGACCCTTAATCATAATAAAATCTCTTAAACAGTAGAGAAATATATACTGTATATATAAGTCTTTACTGCCATAACTTATTTCATTAGCATTCAGAATATTATCATGAATGTATACATTTAATTTTCTTAATAGATCTCAGACTCTCACTTTACAAGATCCTAATTGATGCAGCTTTACTGAAGCCATAATAACACATATTTTGATAGGTGCCAATTTGACATCTAAAAATGCGTGCTGTACACAAAGGTAATTTCCTGAACATTGAACTTATTAAGAAATACCATTACTGCACTGTTCAAGAAAGCTTACACTAACCGTTTAAACTTAACTTACTTTATCAGCCTGGAGATGAGGTTTATACTTGGTGTACACCCCAGGCTTCTGCTCCACTGTTTTAAGGGCAGATGCTTTCTTTAGCTTGTGTTTCTGAGTATTTGGTGAACCTGAAACATTTAAATTATATTGTAAAATAGCACAAGGATTAGTGGAGCATTACATGTTTACAAAACTGTGTTAGCAATTCATACATATGTTTAAGTTTGATAACTGACTGTTTATCTACTGGTAGACCCCCCTGACATTACCAATCACAGGCAGTCCACAAAAAAGGGAATTTACAATGAATTTGGTTGTTGTAACATCAACATCTGTATAAACAACATCTACAATTACTTTAACTCACTGATGTTATGGCTGATGACTTGTGTTCACCAATGGCTATGACCCTGTAGTCACACATATAGACAAAATACAAGAGAGAGAGAGAGATATACACTTGAGAATATAACATCTAAACCTTTACTGAAGATATATAAACACTAACATATCATAAATAACAAATATATTAGCGATACTCTGGGGCTACCAGCTAGTGCACAACTGATATTCACCTGATTTCAGACATGAATACACACCTGTATTATCTCCTATTCTAATGATATGTGGCCAGTGCTGGAGAGTTTTGGCAAAAAATGGGTTTGTGACTCCAAGAATAACATTTGGCGGAGCTGAGGTGCGTGTTGTGTACTCTTTAAATTCAGAATCATGGATGGTGAAGAATGGCCGGTAGTCACCACTGAACTTGAGAGGAGTGATAAGGCTGGAAAAAAACAATATGATAAACCTTATTTGTCATGACACATAGAGTAGGAGAAGTACTGTACTGTATTATAAACACAAGAATGAAGTTTTTCCTAAATGAAGGAAAATTTAAAAAAAAAATAAATAAATAAAATAAAAAACTGGAAATGTTAACTGTTTACAGTTGCTATAAAGATGGTTATCTTGTGCTGAGAATATCTTTCATGTTAAGACAAATTACACAAATGATAGCCATATACTGCAACAAATAAAAAGATGCATATTTTACTATCATCACAAAAATCATACAAAATACAGTACAGAACAGTTCACATCATAGTATACTCACATAACTGAAAAAATGTAATTGTACTTTGTTCTGGGAACCACACGCAGAACCATTGAATCACAGAACCGTGATATATGTTTACATGTTAAAGGTACTTGATCATTCTCGAGCTCGTACCAAAGTCCCTCTTTTTTGCCCTTTCAGCCCCTTCACTCTCCTAATTTCAACGAAATTGTTCCCTCGTTAGCTGCTATTTTTGCATTCAATTTGTGTTGTGTAGTATTGTACATTACTGTACCAGGACACAATCAAACAATAATACAGTGTTACGAAATAAAAAGTGATTACAGTTATGTATACCGTATTGTACATTTAGTAAAAGGGAAACACAGGGAGCACCTTTGCAATTGTCTTTATTCAAGACAGCTTCAGGTCACGAGACCCACAAATTCCTCACCCAGACAATGGGTGACCTGACATTGCATCAAGTCAGGTCAGCAACATGAGACAGACTAATCCCCTACCCCATCTTCATCGCAAGTGTTAAGACGTAAAAAGTGATGGCATCTAAATATTACATTCAACAGAGTGGACAGTATGCCTACTGTAGGCTCAAGATGACAGGGTATATTGTATATGTACAGTAAAGCCTCCGATAACAACGGTTCGACCAACAACTTTTCATATTTAAAACCCTAGATAATTTAGGACCCAATTCAATTTACGCCCTTATTTCATTCGTAATTACAATCAAAATATAATACAAATAAAATAAAATTTAATTTTCATATAAATAATAACTAAATCCTTTTGTTTTCATGCATCTGGAACAGGAATGGGAGAAAAACTTTCTCAGGTTTCTTACAGCATTTTTGCATCCCTATTCAACATGAGCAAGAGAGCAAGTAATGGTAGTGTTGTTTCAAAAGCTAATAAAAAGTGTATAAGCTTAGCTGAGAAACTAGATGTGTTAAAACGATATGAAAAAGGTGAGAGGTCTGTGGATATTATATGGAGCAAGCAATGAACATATTTTCTGAAGTGGATCCATTAACAGAACAAAGCATTAAAATTTAAATAAACACAAATGACCTCTACATAAAGATGTATAATGAGAAAAGAAAACAGCTGTGCAAGGTTCTTTCAACAGCTTTATTATTCGAAGGCCTAAACCATCAACTTCAGCTACACCATCAAATTCAGCATTATAAGCAGCTTCAACATCAACTTCAGGTTCAGTAACAGTTTCAGCAACAGCTTTATGGAAAGATACAGCTTCAGCCAAAGTTGAACCTACAGCTTCAGCCAGAGTTAAACCTGATGACTTCTTCATCTGAGAAAAAACTCGCACAATATTCATTGACTGTCCTTATGTTTTAGACTTTACCACCATTGGTGAGTAGAATTTTTGTTTTACATTCGTAAATATTATTTAAAACATATATGAACAGAAAATAAGTGTTGCTTTCATATTCATGTAAAGAAATGACGATGTGTTTTCACATGTACGCACTTACTGTTCATACGTTGGCGTTCCCAATTGTCTCGCTTTATTTCTTTACCATTAGTGGTTAGCTACTTCTAGTGTTCCATTTATTAACATTAAATAACATTACCTAAAACATACATAGAGGTCTTACTTTTCAGTTTCTTATGTAGAAACATCGTCACTCACGAAAACAGTGCCGCCTTGTCTCCTCATGTATGTTTTAATATTCTACGTATTATTAATGAATTGCATTGTTCATTTCACATATACAGTATAAACATTAATTCAATCAAATACATATTCAGTAATAAGCAATAATGAATCTTTTGTACATATTCTTAAGATAAATGACTGTTTGCTTGAGTGCACACGTATACATTGGCGTTCGTTCCACTATCAGTCTCACTTTTTTTTTAATATCAATGGTTACTTCTACTGTACATTAAATAACATTAATTAACACATACATATTTTTTACATTAATTTTACTACAACAACAACCAGGGTCTTATTTTCTTCAGTTTCTTATGTAGATCCATCGTCACGGGTTTAAACACTAACAAAAACAATGCCGTCTCTTAATCTCATGTGTTTTAATATTCTACGTATTATTAATGAATTGTATTGTTCATTTCGCATATATAAAGATTAATTCAATAAAAAATACATATTCAGTAATAAACAATAATGAATCTTTTGTACATATTCTTAAAAATATAAATGGCACGGTATCCTTAAATGCGCATGTACAGCTACTCCTCTACTTACGACCTACGACCACCCAGACATACGACCGCCTCAGTCATACCAAAATTTTGTCAAATTACGTACCCTACAGTATTTTCAAGTCCCAACGTTAGTGATTGCGCTGTGTACTGAAAATATTTTCGTTTGTAATTCCCTTTAAAATGGCTGGCAAGCTTAAAAGTGAGAGTTTTGTGGTGCTGAGAAGAAAAAGAGACACCCCTTTTAGATTTCTATGTATTATTTAAGCATTTTCGACTTACGACCTGGATTTGGGTCCCTAACCCCGTCATAAGTTGAGGAGCAGCTGTATATGTTGGCGTTCCCAATTCATCTCTTTTTTTTCTATCGTTCCATTTATTAACATTAAATAACGTTACTTAAAACATATATATTCATATTTTTACATTAAATTTACTACAGCCACAACCAGGGTCTTATTTTCTTCAATTTCTCGTGTAGAACCATCGTCCCGGACTCCCGGCTGTAAACACAAACGAAAACAATGGTATCCCATCTCCTCTTGTGTGACCATATTAATATTAATTTATATTGTATAAGGAGCATTCAGAAACATTATTTAGAGAAAATAGCTTGCAATTTTCATTAATTGTAGTGTTTTGGAGGGAAAAGAGGGTAAAAGGCCAAACATATCAACATTTCTTATGTAAAGGGTTATGATGCCATAAACATGGTCACAGAGTTGGGCGGCGAAGAATGTCACAAGGCGGGAAATTTAGGGGTAAGTCTTGCTCTTCAATATGGTCTAAAACTTCATCATAACAAAGTTTCAAGTTGTACTTCAAAATTCCCAAATATATTGACTCTAGGCTCCTAGACTATGGGTACAAACTGAGAGGAATTAACGTAAGAAAAGTATTAATGTGAATGAATGAAAAGATGAGCAGTGACAACAACATTGAAAGATGAATGTTTACACACCTCCTTACATTACAGATGACACTAATGCTGTAAATACTAAGACAGCTAGATCATCACGAACCTTATCAACGTTTGTACAGTGTTAGCAGCAGTTGTTGGAGACATTGCCATAACCACCAGAGGTTCAGCTGTTAACACCAGCTCCCACAACAGGTTCAGGTGTGGTAACACTGGTGCCAATACACGGAATGCCTGTTAGTAAATAATTTCATGTACCGGTAGTATATTGCACCACACAACTTATCATTCAAGTAAGTATACAGTAATTCTATTTTTGTAGCTCCTTGTAATTCATGGAACTGAGTTAAATATAAATGTCAGTTATACTCTGCAGTACTTAGCAGGCTCAACACCTGTAATAACATTAGCATTCATTTCCTCCAACATTTCATTAAACCATGAAGATATTTCACTAATACCCTGGATTGTAATTTAATAACATCAATTTAATTTAAACACTACAGTATAGCTATATGGTTAATTATATATCAATATACCTTCCTTTATAAATAAACTGGAAAATTCTGAGGAAACTGTCATCTTACATGGTATAACTCTTGTTAATATGATACTGTATCTGTGCTAATCTTTCTGAGACCATTAAACTGGTAATGAATGAACGAATCTCTGGCATGAAAACATAAGAGTACAGTACCTCTGTCTCATGAGGAGTTGGCACAAGGACCGTGAGAGGACCTGGTGAGGTGAGAGGAGGGGAGGGTGGTGTCAGCGTGGCTGCTCCTGGTTTATCTTGTCGGCTTGGTATTCGTACCTGCATAAAAAAGTTACAATCAAGTACATTTCGATAGGAAACCTGTAGGATTGAGTGTGGGTCATATAAAGGAATAAATTATGTTGGTGTTTACCTTTACTCTAAATATTGGGTTTTGTTTTGTTCTATTGCAGATGTACATGGATTTATGAGTTGAATAAAGCCTTGATTACTGAAGGTGTTTGATCGCATACGACAATTTATTCAACTTATATTCTACTAGCAACATGGAAAGCATACTAAAAGCTGTCACAGCCGAAGAATATCGTGAAGAGTTAGTACGGGATGCCTTCATCAACGGACTGTCTTCTGCTCTCACACTCTCACAAGCCTTTGATCAAGCTAGAGGCTTGGATCTTGCACAGCGTACTTCGGAAGCCTTCCAGCCACTAGGCCCTGTCATTGCAGCAGCTTCAGGATGTGTGGAGGAAACTGTTAAGTCACCGTTCACTAATCAACAAGATGTACGTCCAGTTGAGGACTTCACACTTGCTATTATGACCACTAAGAAACAATGTTGGTTTTGTGGTGGCAGTCTTCATTTACGGGTAAGATGTCCAGCTAAAGATAGTGATTGCTCTTCATGTGGAAAAAGAGGGCACTGGGCAAAAGTCTGTCAGACTAGGGGTAAGAAACAGGTCAAGGGATCAATTTCATCTCCTACTCTTTGTGCCATCTCAGCTGTTGTTCCTCATTGCCTGAATTGCTCTGCTACAAACTTAAAGGTAAATGGAAGAAGAATCTCCGGCCTTATTGATTCGGCAAGTTACAGTATGAGAGTTTCATTGACAAGAGAGTGGCCCATCGGCTTAAGCTTCACATCAAACCCGTGATGTTACTCTCGGCATAGATCTTCAATTACCATAGAGTATGGGGACCCAGACCTGAGCTCAAGATTTCCAACATTGGTAACAAGCCTGTATGTAGCCTGGCATCAGCAAGTATGTCGGCATCACTGTTATTTGCAAACATGTGAGGAGATGCAATGCTGATAGCCACCAAATCTAGGAAGTTTAGCCCTGATGCCCAAAAGTTCATTACCAAAGGTGGTGATTGCAAGAGATAATTCAGGCTGTCACAGAAAACGAATGTGCATCGACTACTCTTCTACGGTGAACCTTTACAACAATCTCGACGCATATTCATTGCCAAACTCTTGCTAAGTGCCATGTGTTCTCAACATTTGATCTAAAGAGCGCATACCATCAACTACGCATAAGCGAGTTTGATAAACCCTTTACAACATTTGAAGCAAATGTGTACCATTTAGTGTCACTAATGGTGTTGCTGTTTTTCAAAGAGCCATAGACAAGTTCGTGGAGGAGAATCTATGTGACACATTTCCCTACCTTGACAATATACCATAGGTGGTCGGGATCAGAAAGAACATGATGCAAATCTTGAGAAATTTCTTGCTGCTGCTGAGGAAAGGAAGCTGACATTCAATACATCCAAATCTACAATATCAGCAACATCGATCAATCTTCTGGGTTATCAACTTGGAAATGGTCAAATCAAACCAGATCCTGAAAGGCTAAAAGCACTGCAAGAACTTCCACCACCTACAAACTGATTGGTTCTTCAACGTGTACTTGGTATGTTTGTTTATTATGCTAAGTGGATCCCGGAGTTTTCAGACAAGGCACGGCCTCTTTACAAGGCTAAATCTTTTCCTCTGGACCGTGAAGTGCTCACAGCTTTTGATGACTTTGAATTAAGCAAGTCGGACAGTAGCCTTCATGTCTCGGATGTTATCTTCTCGCATTGTGGTATGGCGAGTTTTGTCCACTCTGATCGAGGAAGTGCATTTATGTCTCGTGAAGTGAAAACTCACCTCGCTAGTCGTGGAGTGGCATCCAATGGCATAATCTGGAAGTCCATATGTTTAGGTGCCAAATCTAGAGATGTTCCAGATACTGAATGGGAGGCTCTCCTGCCCGAAGCACTTCACTCGATTAGATCATTGCTCTCAACAGCCATCAACGTGACTCCACATGAGAGGTTTTCAATTTTCCGAGACGATCTTGTCAGGGTACATTACGACTCCAGGTCCTGTCATCTTATGCCGATTCGTCCACTCAAGCAAAGGTGACCCTTTTGTTGATGAGGTGGAGCTCCTCGAGGCTAACGTGATCTGTATACCGAGGCCCAGTAACTTGTCTGAGTCCATTGTAGGAAGGATCGAGTGGTTTCTAAACCCCTAAACTTCCTTCTTCTTTTGTTATGGAAAGTTACTTAAAATTAATTAAAGTTAATCTAATTCATCTGTGAAAATTTTAATTGTTACTTTAAATTACAGTAACCCATATTTCAAATTTTAACTACCGTAGTCGAGGTAATGAAATTAATCATTTATCGGCAAAAATGTTGGGTTAAATAAATATCATTTAATCAGCAGAATGTAAGTTATTAACCTAAATTAACCCAAACCTGGTTTCCAATTTAATTATCCAGCTTCTATAAATATCCAATTAAAATAAAAATGAATCAGATTGTTGTCAACTGTGTTTTCAATAACAATAATTACCTGTACTAAAGTTCCCAAGAGAGGCAGACTGAGGGTGATGCCGGGTGTGGGAGGCGGCCACTGATCAAGGTGATGACACGCTGCCTCCAGACTGGCCTCACCCATATCAAAATATTCTGGAGCTACCAAATCCAGAACTGTTGTGAAGAGGGACACCAATGGCAGGTGTGACAACAGCACCACACTCTGGAGAATTATGAACAAAGTGTCATGAATGTATTTAGAAAATAATATTAGTTCCTGTTATCATAACACACTCTTCAACTACAAAAACTACAAAGAAAATTGAGACAAATACATACACTTTGAAAACACACTGTTGAACTCACCTAACTCTTGTACACCCTGGTAGTGATTTTTTGCCTATGATCAAGTTAGTAATTAAGGCATGAAATTTATATATGTAGTGTTCTAAATAAAATTTTTTTTTCAATCTTCAGCTCACCTTCTGGAAGTATCCTCGCCGTAGTGTTCTGTCCTTCACCTGTCTGAAGTACACGTAGCCGTACAAGTAACCATCTTCTGTCTAAAATCAAAGAGACGTTTCATATATAAATAGTGTAGCCTACTAATAAATTCAAAATGCGAAGAGATGTATCTCAAAAGGGCATAAATAAGAATAACAATACAGCACAGCGGAGTACATAATATATCAAATGATCTCAGACTCTTGGGGTACAATACAGTATAGTCAGGTTCCCCTGAACAAGAATTCAATATAGCGGACTTTGAATTTCTATTTGATTTAACAAGCAAAATTACCAATGAACAAGCATGCATTATCATTAATGGAGTGGGGCCAGTCATGCCTTGTCTTTGTTTGAGTGGCCAGCCAGAATAGCACACGTGAATAGCTGTTTTCTACACTGCTGTGAAGTCAGTGGTAGGCTCAAGGTACATAGTAGGTTAGGTAGCACCACTCCCACAGAACTCTGTAGTGATCTGAAAAAAAATCTAAGCTTGCGTTGAAGTTTTGTTATGGTATTAAACATTGCACTGGCATAAAAGATTGTGTAGATTTTTTTGTTTTATTGCAATTGGAGCCACTGATACAAAATAAAAACGAAAAATTAAGAATTCATCAGTGATTTATTTCAGTACTGCTCATTGGCAAGCTATGGATGCATCACATGACTCTGCCCCTTTGTTTGTATTGTCAACTGTGAAGGTGCAATTTCTAAAACGATCATGATAAAATATTTTTTAGCAATGGTAGTTTGTGCTGTAGCTTCAAGCAGGGTAAGGTGGACAAATAATAAGTTAGTGTCTTTTCATGGATTTCCACAAAGTCATAAGCTTGCAAGAAAATGGGTAGTAGCATGAAAAAGAAAAGACATCTGGAGCTTCAAGCAAGTAAAGCCTTGGCCTTGTAATATGTTCTATGCTTATTTTTTCTTTTTTTTTATTACTTACAGATGGTTTTAACGATTTACAGTAGTTTTGGAAAAGCATATGATAGGGTGAACAGAAAAGCATTGTGGGAGGTCATGTAAGTGTATGGAGTAGGAGGAAGGCTATTAAATGCAGTAAAAGCATTCCATGAGAGCAACAGGGCAACAGTAAGAGAAAATGGGAATGAAAGTGAAACATCTGAAATATATGTGGGTGTTAAACAGGGATGCCTTATGTCCCTGTGGTTGTTCACTATATTGTACTGTATACAGTAAAATACATGGATGTGAACTACAAGTATTATACAATGGTGGGAGTGGTGATAATAAGCTGATTATAAGGGAGCCAAGTTGCCACTGCCCAGTATAACTGGTGACTGCTTCTGTTTATGGCTGGGCTCTGAGCCCAGCCATAATCCAGGGGAGCCGAGTTCTCTCTTTCTCCAACTCTACTTAAATGAAGTCTTTAATACTTTTAACTGGAAAAGTAGAATAGTTTTTCCATGCATTAAGATGAACTTAAAACTTATTTTTGGCCTTTAACCCTTAGGCCCCGGTTGACATTCCAGAATGTCCGACTAGCGCACCCCGGGTGACGTTCCACAACGTCCGCCTATTTTCCCGCTTTTTTTTTAAAGTTGCTTTTTTTCTCGATTTAACCCCGTGGTGGGGATAGTGCCAGCAGCACCCTAACTTGGGGCTTAAAGGTTAAGCCATTTGGCCTTTTCACAGTGATTTTTTGAGATGGAAAGGAGGACTGTATAAATGATTGCTAATTCATCCTAAATGTAATGTTTATGATTATTAGCATATTAAAAGTTATACTGTTTAACCCTTATGCCCCGAGTTAGGGTGCTGCTGGCAGTAACACAACCTAACTAACTAATTTAGATAACCTGGGATACTCGTACAAAGAGATATTACAGTGGCAAAGATCATTCAAAATTAAACTCATGGATCCATAATATTAACATATAACACTTGTACAAGCTACCACAAGCTCAATGTACAAGCATAAATACTGACTGTTTCTAACTACAAAATACAACTTTGGCATAGAATGACAATACAGCTACTCCTCGACTTACGACATACTCGACATACGACCGCCTCGGTCGTACCAAAATTTTTTCAAATTATGTATTTTCGAGTCCCAACGTTAGTGATTGAGCTGTGTACTGACAAAATTTTCGTTTGTAATTCACTTTAAAATGGCTGGCAAGCTTAAAAGTGAGAGTTTTGTGGTGCTGAGAAGAAAAAGAGACACCCATTTTAGATTTTCTATGTATTATTTAAGCATTTTCGACTTACGACTTGGATTTGGGTCCCTAACCCCGTAGTAAGTCGAGGAGCAGCTGTACTGTACAGTACCTGTATATTAGTAGGACAGGATGAATTATACTGGTGGATGGCTGGGCGAGTGTGGAGAGGTATGGACTGGGGGCACTGGCGGATACGGAAGTGGAACTGCACATTGCCCATGAGACCAGAGTTGCTGTCTGGAAAGGCCAAGTAGCATATATTTGTACGCTCTCGTTCTGTCAACTCTCTGTCCCCAGGGTAGATCATCTGCAAACGAAAACAAAATATTCATTAAATAGGTACAGGTACTTATAAATTGTACATTTTTTATAAGTACAGTACACTAATAGTCGGCCAACAGCTCTCATATACTGTACTATTGTAAGCAGACATGTTATGACTCCCCCACAAATGGAATCGATTGTGATTACTGTACCTTGCAAATTCATGATTATGATGACATTTAAAATTAGATAGCAAAATAAAACAATATATAATCACTGTCATAAAAGGTGCTTAATTCTATACAGTGGTCCCTCGGTTAACGAACACAATTCGTTCCAGAAGGTCGTTCATGAACCGAAAATTTCGTTAACCGAATCCATTGTTTCAATGGGATATTGGATAATTGGTTTCAGCTCACCGAAAAGTACATACAAAGTAAAAAAAAAATGCAGTAAAGTACACTTACTTTGAGGTGTGTATGTAGAAGGTTCCTGGTTGATGATGATGATGGGAATTAGAAGTGGGGGTGGAGAAGAAGGGAGAAGAGAAGGAAGTGGGGATGGAGGAGAAATCACCTTTCAGTGGACTCATGCTTGATGCCGTCATTTCACCAATAAAATTTTAAGTTCATGAGGTGTAATTCAAGAATATTTTCTTTAAATCAACACTGCACTGTGTTACATACTGTATTATCAATATGTTAACTAAATTTCAGAATGACCAATAATTTAAATGAAAAATGCAAAAATATTCAAGACACCAACAAAATAGATGTTCACTCCACCGTTTTCAAAACCCAACTGACGCCTTGTGGCTGAGTCAAGCTGTTGATGGGCGCACAAACAACTAGTTCCCTGTACTGCATATATTATCAATATGTTAAATGTTAAAATGACTTATAATTTTAATATAAAAAATGCAAAAATATTAAAGAGCACAACTTTATTGATATTTACTCCGCTGCAAACGAATGCAAACATAGAACAGATTACTGAATTGGCAGACTAGCCCATCAGCTGATCAGCTGATGCTCACAACAAAACGTGACGTTCGTAAGGATTTCGTTTATCAAATTTTTTTTCTTTAACCGAATTGAAGATTCTTATAGAAGGTAATTCGTTAACCGAGGGACCTGTACAGTATAATTGTGTGTGGCGATAACACTCCCCCTGTCGGGTTACGCTCGAAATTACTGCCTACCATTAGATTCACTCTCCGACACCTTCCAACAGGCAGTCTCGTTGCTGGGCGTATTAACACTGAGTCCTTTGTCTTCACTTTAACACTTTGCACCAGGCCATCTCTGCTCGGTAGTGCCTCCAGTACTCTCCCTAGCATCCACTGACTCCTGGGGAGGGGTTGTCCAGAGATGATCACGATATCCACAGCGTTGAGATTACGGCGAGTTTTGAAGAATTTTGTCACTGACGTAGTGTTGGGTGATATTCCTTTACCCACCTCTTCCAAAATTGGTCCGCAATGAATGGGCATGCTTCCATCTTCGTCGGTACACTTCTGCCATGGAGCGATCGTCTCCGGTGGACAGTGTCTCCGGGTTCATCCTTATTATGTGAAGCGGCGTTAGTGCTTCTAGATCCTTTGGGTCGTCAGACAGTGGGGTGATGGGCCTTCCGTTGATAATCTCTTCTACGGCGCAAAACTAAGTGCTGAGGCGCTCATCGTCTAGTGTCTGGGTGCCCACCACTCCCTGGAGGACATTCCATATAGTGCGGATTTGTCGCTCCCACACTCCTCCCATATGAAAGGCTGTCGGGGGATTGAACTGCCATTCTATCTGTTTCAGTAGGAGGGCATACCCGACCTTGTCACTTTTGTTCCAGCCGCTCACCGCCTCTCGTAACTCTCGGCTAGCTCCAATCATGTTGGTTCCCCTGTCAGACCGAATAAGCTTGGGAGGTCCCCTGCGGCAGGTGAATCTTGTCAGGGCGTTGACGAACGAGTCAGTGTCGAGTGAGGTGAGGACTTCTAGGCTCTGGTGGTCAGGCAGGTGAACAAGCATCCCCATCTCTTTGCCCGGGCTCGGCCTTGTTTAACCACAAAAGGGCCGAAGCAATCAATTCCAGTGTAGGTGAACGGCTGGCCTTCTGGGCGCACCCGATCTTCTGGCAGGTCAGCTTAGCGTTGGTGGGTAGGCCTCCAATTGCTACTCTGACAAGTCACACACGTTCGTATTGTGCCGTGTACCTCTCTCACAAGGAGCCCCGTAATCTTGTTGTCCCTCGGCAACAGTATGGGATTCTTCTGGTCTGGGTGGAGAGTGGCATGTCTCAGTCGGCCACCTACTCTGATCAAATCGCCCATGTCTAGATGAGGGTCCAGCCGACTTACGTCGCTACCTCTCACGGGTTGTCCCTGTTGTAACATTCCTATTTCTCGGGGGAATCCTTTCCTTTGCATAAATCTTAAGACGGCTAATTTCGCATCTTCCAATTCGCTGACCTGGAGTCGATTTTCTCGGTGATGTTTGTTCTTTCGCTTCCCAAGCCGCCATTCAATAAACCTTCTTATTCAAGCTACGCTCTTCAGAAATCGATGCCACGAGGAGTACCTGTCCATAGCTTATCGAGAATACCCTCTCCCTGGTCAGCGTTCGTCGTCAGCACCGTGGTTTCCTTCTTCACCTCTGGGTCTCCGTCTGTGAGGTCGGGAATCCTCAATGGACTCTTTGGCCAACTGTCTTCTTCCAACAAGAGGAAAGCAGGTCCCCAAATCCACCTGCCCTCCTCATTGAGCTCTGCTCCATGTAGTCCATGACTAGCACCATCGGCTGGGTTCAGTTCCGACATCACGTGGAGCAAGTGTTCTGCATTGGAGTCCTCGTGTATTGTTGCTACTCGATTGGCCACGAAGGAATGGAAGCGTCTTTCAGTGTTTTGTATGTATTGAAGGACTGCCGTACTGTCTGTCCAGAACACTGATCTGTCTATATGTAATTCAAGTTCTCGCCGTAGTTGTTTGCCTGCCTTGGCGGCCAGTACTGCCGCACAGAGCTTGAGTTGAGGTATGGTCTGCTGTTTCAGAGGGGCTAGCTTGGCCTTGCCACACACGAAGGAGACATGGTGGGTTCCATCTTCACACGTGGTCCTCAGATACGATACAGCTCCATACGCTTGTTGGGAGGTGTTGCAGAAGTGGTGTAGTTGCACGGCAGCCACTGGATTTGCATCCTTGAGTTGTAATACCCTGGAACGTGTACCCATGATAGGTGAGGAAGTTCACCCAGCCATTTTTGCCATATCACCCTTTTCTGTTCAGCCATTCGTTCATCCCACCCAACACCTCGTCTACACTCATCTTGGAATATGATTTTGGCTCTTATGACGCTTGGAGCGATGAGTCCCAGTGGGTCATAGATGGAGCTGACCATACTCAGAAGGCCTCGTTTCGTCTCCGGTTTCTTAGGGATCTGGACCTGGACCACTAGTTCGTCCTTTTCCAGGTCCCACAAGATTCCCAACGCTCATTCAGTGGGGAGCCTGTCGTCTTTCAAAATTACTTCCTTAACCCCCACGGCTTTCTCTGTCTATGGAATTCCCTTGAGGACTTCCTTTTGATTACAGACCCACTTCGTAAGTCTGAATCTGCCTTCTTCAACAGCGGTCTCAGCCGATGGGTAATTATCGTTGCCGTCCCCAGCGCATCTATCGCGAGAAGCAGATCGTCAATGTAAGTTACGATTCGCTTTCTTGATGTCGTCATGGAGACTTTCTCCATAATCTTGGAATGTTCGTTGTAGCGCATACCTGACGCATGAAGGGCTCCACACACCTCCAAAGAGATGTATTGTCATTTGGTAAGTGGTGGGGGCCCCTGAAAGCTGGTCGTCTGTCCACCATAAGAATCGTAAGACGTCTCGATATTCGGGTACTACTCGCACTTGATGGAACATTGCCTCGATATCAGCCATGAGTGCCAACTTTCCTTGTCTGAATCTGATGAGGACTCCCATCAATTTGTTGTTAAGGTCTGGCCCTTGCATCACCTGGCTGTTCAACCACATCGACTCATACTCGGCTGCACAATCAAAAACTATTCTCACCTTTTCTGGCTTGTTGGGATTCAACACAGGGTGATGTGGGAGATACCAGGTTTTCCCAGGTGCAACACCGAGTTCTTGACGTGGGACTTGCTCAGCATGTCCCTCGTCAATTAGACGTCTTATCTCTTTTTTATACCTCCGAGAGAGCCCTGGGTTCTTCAGGAGGCGTTTTCTCAATCCCGCCAATCGCTGTTCGGCAAGCTTCTTATTCTCTGGGAGTCCTGGTTCTTCATGGCGAAACGGGATAGTAAGTTGGTAGTGTCCGTCCACTTGAGTAATTGACGTTGACCACTGCATCAGGACTCTCTTGTCTTCAACAGAGACGGGATCACCGTTACTGTAGGCGGAGTCGCATTCCCAGAAGTGCTCGACTTGTATTTCCAGATTTGTCTCCGAATTTAGCGTTGCCATTCAGACAAAGTGGTTGATCACGGTATAATCATGGCTCACCACTCCAAGCAGTCCATTTATAGTCCAGCCTAGAAGGGTGCGTGTTGCAAACGGCTCTCCGTCCTTCCCGGTCCTTGCTTCTAACGGTGCTAGTGTTTGTGGTACATCCAGATCTATCAGGAGATCCACTCTTTTCAGTGCTTGGCGTAATGCAGTACCTCGGAGGTGTTCCCACATGGTGACGTCTTGGGTGTCTGCGACCGACGCACTCAGAGAAAACGGTAGATTCTCAACAACAATGACCTTGAGGATAGTGATGGATCGGCTCTTTCTTGCTCCTACACTAGCCACCTTTACACTGATCTCTTCAGTGTTTACACTATTTCTTTCTTTCATGATCGTGTCAATAGAGAGGTAACTGGCCTTCCCTGTGCCAGCAGCCGGTAAGCTAGACTACGCGTGCAGTATGATCGGTTGCTGCCTGAATCCAAGAGAGCTCAGGTGACCACTACTCCTTTCGCCTCTTAGCTCTTCTCCTCCACCCTGACTTTTACTATTGGAAGTGCGACTCTGCTGGACCCTTGTAGTCACA